TGAAAAACATGCACATACATTATAATCCCTGTAGTAATTATTGTGGTTTTTTTTTACATTAATACAAAAGAAATACTATATGTTTCTACCATCTGTACAATAGATGGTAGGATAAAACTGTCACTCTGACAGGTTTCAATCTATTTTATTTTGTATTTCATTTTTGTAGGGATTTGTATTTAAGTTGAGGTTTTGACGATGGTGGTTAAGATCTGTGCTTAAAAGGTTGTACATTGTCTTTCAAGGGTTTTCCAGTTCACTCTGTAAATTGTCTGTAAAAGACAGCATCTTTGTAAGAAACAACACAAAATGTGCTGTGAAGTACTGTACCTAAGTACAGTTCAATTTTGAAAAGCAGTACTCAGTAACCTTGATTTAAAAAAAAAAGGATGTCAAATGTTTCAATGTGTACAGAAAGCATTAAATGTAATCGCCATAATCTATTGGGTATGATAGCATATTGTATTTTTTGTTAATTCTGTAATTTGACTGAAATTTATGTTTGTTGGTTTTGCTCTATTCAGTTACTGCTCCTGGCCCGTCTCTGCCACTGTTGCTTCTTTGTGCATTCTGTGTCATTTAAGCCATTTCCCCTCAGCTGACCCCAAAGCTGCAGCACATTAGGTAACGACAATCACCTGTTCCTCATTCCAGCGATCGTTGTTGCAGTCTTTCAGCTAGGTTTATAGTGTGCACATTGAACTGGGCACCAAGGGGCGTGCGTCAATTGAACCGGCCCTTCCCCAGCCTGTTGGCCTTGCGCTCTGGTTGTGCACCTTCCAATTTTTGTAACTGAGTGCAGATAGTGCGCCCCCACCTTCCTCCCACTTTCCAAAACCTGCTATGCAGATTGGTCTTTCCCACCCCCAATACCAATTTGCAGGTGCATAAGATAGTTACATTTTTATGTTTCTAGCATAGAAATCTAATTCTCTTTTTGTCCATTTTGATGTACGTTTATCTCGGGAGTCCAGCTTTTAAAAAAAATTATAGATGTTAGTTTCTTTGCTTGTTGTACAGGGATTATTATAAACAAGCCACACTAGCAGTAAAAGTCAAGCCCTGAAGTGTACGTGAATGGAACAGCTGATGTAGCCAAACTACTCATTCCCACTAATGACACTCTCTGCATTTCTTTAAAAGACGTGCGGCACGGAGGGATTATAAAGAGGTAGCAACAAACAGGACAGGAAATGAGGCTACGTGAGAAAAGATGAGCTTGTTTCAGGTCGCAGTCAGTTCTCTCTTGCTTTCCTCTGTGCATTCTCGTTCCTTTTCCTCTTGTCTTTCCACTACAAAAAATGGATCTGACAGGCAATAAGGAAAGCCAGAACTGTCAGCCGGCGTAAATCCACTTTGAAATAACAGCTGTCATTTGGATTATGTCCAGACTCCACCCAAACAGGGTTCCTTAGAGAATCCCTGCCTATCACCTCCCACCTTCAGGTCAAGTCCTAACATATGTAAAAGTGAATGGTGGCTTATTGGAAAGCAGCTGTGATGGTCCGTAGTCTCCCGCTCTGATAGGTGGCTCCAATTGTTTTTTATTTGTTTGGGTTTTTTTTTTTTTGCTTCCACATCAGACTGAGGGCTTGCCGCCAACACTTAGACACATATACCAAGAGGTCAAGGTTAAAGCGTATTCCCTATTCACAGCCAGGAGAAAAAAACACAGCAACATGAAAGGTGATATCTTTTGGAAACGGCCGTGTTAAAATGAAAGAGCGGGGTTCGCCGCCTTCTCATTCCTGCAGTGATGTATGGCTTTAGCTTCGAAATAAGGTGCTCTCTACCGTAGCTTCCTGACAATTACAGACTGCTTCCAAACCGGCAAGCTGAAGAGCTCCATAGATGCTATTTTACTTGTTGCTCTCTCTGTTGCATGTAGCCGCTCTTTTGAGGGTTGAGGGTGCACCTTAAATGCTAAGAATTTTAGCTAAGAAACAAGTGATGAAATTGTTTGCATATTTGCTAACAGGACAGGGAACGATAGACCAAATCTCACTCTGATTATGCACATATTGACATGTGTTGGCGAGGCAGAGTCAAGTTCCTGATTTCAAACACATGCTTGTCACAGCTGTGTGTGCTTCTCTCACAGGACCTTCAAATGTCTCACAGCACATCAAACTTTAAGCAAAGTTTGACAACCTTTCCCAGAACGTGGCTGCAACGGCAGTTTGAACTTTGCGCAGCGCTTGCCACCTCGGTGCGTTTTAAGCCTGTTTGCACTCTTTTTAGAAGCAGGCTAATTGGAACTGTGCATGGCCCCCAGATGTCTCAGGACCTCCTTCAGCAGTCACTCGCGCACTCCCTCTATTGCGCATTCAATCCTGCGCACACTCACACTCGTTCACATGCTCACATTCGCATACATCACCTTTCACAGATGTTTTTTTTCCCTTTCTGTTGCCTCCTTTTCCTCCCTTTTTCCCCCTCCTCCCACATCACCTTTTCAAACCACACAAAATGGCTGTAAACACAGGCTGTCAGCGGGGATAGAGGAATGCCTCAGAGGCTTAGACAGCCTTTTGGTGCTGCGTGACAGACAGTCCTCCTTGTGCTTGACAGGTCCTTGGGTCTCGCTGCCTGGCTGCGCTGTGGTGGTCTCTACGTGGCTTTGGCAATTTCCCATTACGAGGATAAGGGGGATGGGTTGAAATGCATGCAAGAGATGCGACGGTCTGGGTTTGCGAGTCACTAAGTTGGTTTGGGGGGAAGGGACGCGGGGGAACCCAAAAAAAGAAGAAAAACTGCTGTGAACTTACTCTAAAACGTGATTTTAGTATCCCACAATCTCCGCAAACATTTATTCACCTATCCACTATGTAGTTTTCACAAAAACTGTTTTTTGCTTGTTTGTTAACAGTACAGTAAGTGACGGATAATCTGTGAAAAAAATGATCTCCTCTTCCTTCTCCTGCAATGTGCTGAAATGCCCCGCTCACAATCAGAGCCCAGGAGAAGGTCATGTCTCTGCCAGTCATGATGGTGTACTGAACTTGAGTTAATAAATTCAAATATTTAGCAAATGTAGGAGAAAATTGCAAAAAAAAATAATTACGTAGCTTAAACTACTGACTTTTATTGCAGAACAAGATGCAAACATATCCAAAGCACATTTTTCTCACTAATACTTAAAGAAAAATGAATATTAAACATGCTGTATTCTCCATTTCACAATGACTCAGTACTGTGTGTTGTTTGTAGCTGTATACAGTTTAAATCACATCTGTAATGTTAACATAGAATAATGTGGGCTAGAGTATAGAGAATGAAAGTCTCTATACTCTACTCTGGTGCTTTGCTTTTTTTCTTTCCTGTCGTTGCTCAACCAACATATAAATGCATCGTTTGCCTTTATGCTGCATGGAAGCCATTTCTACAACTCATATGGATAATTCATCACTTTCCTGTCAGCTCGTCTTGATAAATTACCACTCTGGATCCAGATAGCGCTCCAACCAAATTATCAGTGCCTGAGATTTGCATTTCCTGTTGGCTCCAGTCCTGAGGACTTGAGTCAAGACACTTTTAAGAAAAACAAATCCGGATTTTGTAAACATTTGCAGCTTGTGCAACTCTTAACACCTGTCTGTGAATGTGTGTGGGGTTAACATTGGCTTGAATAACAATTATGAAAACTAGGCCAGGTTTCAACAAAGAGGCATTACTACCATGTTTTGGATTGTTTAGTTGTTTATAATCGTTCATTTTTTTTTTAATCTTAAAGAAAAACATATGGTGATTTGTAATTGCGCTGAGACATACCCCTGATATTACCGTAGATTAAATGCCTAACAGCAGATGCATCAACTCATTTCTGTTTCTGTTTCCAATTTGCATTATGGAAATTAGAGCTGCACTAATCAGCGGTTTGTGGCTTATCTCTGGCCTTCAGTTTTTCTGGTTTTCTGAACTGTTCATTTTAAATTATGACCAGTTCTGGTCTCTTTTTAAACATTTCTAAATTATTCCTAAAAGTAGAAGATTTACCACGGTTTTGAAAACCAAAGAAGAAATGGTGCAGGAGTTGACATTTTAGTCAACTTATTTTAGCAATTTGTTTAAAGTGGCTATCATAACTTAAACAACAGTCTCAGTGTATAGATTTTTAAATAATGCTGGCTCCTATTTTAAGTTTAAAAATTTCAAAGAACTGCAGAAATTGTTCTGCTTTTCATTCAACTCATTCAGTCGACTGCTTTTCATACAAGTCTACACTTAATTGATCAGAAATATAGACAACACACTATCTATCAATATTTATATCTATCTATATTTGTGGACTCTTTGGTAGACTGCACCGTGTGGCGTGTTTACTGATTGCAAAGTTTTTCCTTTTTTTCAGCTGCATACCTTTATTACGAACCTGAACACCGACAGACGTGTTTAGATGCTTTCTTAAGGGGATTTTGTACATTTCAAATATAATGAAACATTAAAAGGAATTTTTTTAAAAAGTGCATGATCTGGCAAAAAATTAAAATGATAAAAGCTGACAAGAAGGTGCTGTTGTGTTTTCCCACATTGCCCATCAGTTTGCTTTCTTCAACTGAGCAAGAGAAGAGAGCTCCTGATATTGATCCAGTAATAAGTTTTGTTCCTCTTCTTATCACAACTCTAGAGTTTCCTTATCACAGTGACACTGCCCGCCACCTGTGTGCGCGGGCGGCGGGCTATACCCAGACAGACGCCGTCTTGTCCTGCATTCTTTCAGCAAACAGGACCCTCTGATATCCGAGTCACTCAGGAGGGGATTTGGTTACACACAAAGGGAAATGCGCCTGCTGTGAATTGCCTGTGAGGGCACCTCTTTTGGACTGAAGCTGCTTAACGGGTACACTGTAAACAGTAGCTAAAAGCGGATTTGAGGTAAAATGTTGGTTTTAGGCGGTTACTTTGATTTGACTTTCCAAGCTGTGCTTCTCACAATTTCTGATGATATTGACAAGAGTCACAGCCATTGCTATTACCTGTTTGTGTGTTTTTGCATGCAGTATTGCAAACATGGGATGTGCATAAACAAGGAGCTGGACATTCAGCCTGTGAATGGGGAGTGGGGTCCTTGGGGGCCCTACAGCGTTTGCTCCAGGTCGTGCGGTGGAGGAACGAGGAGCACCACCAGAGACTGCAACAAACCTGAGTAAGAAAGAATCCCTTAAGCATATTAAAGAAATCTTGTATCATTACGAGTCAACAACGATCTGAGAGAAAAAAAACACGAGACACAGGCTCAGCACAGTGGCGTTTCTGTGATTTATTTATTCTTCAACGTTGTAGGCCCAGAAACGGCGGAAGATTCTGCGTGGGCCGCAGGATGAAGTTCCGCTCCTGCAACACTGAGCCGTGTCCGCGGGAAAGGAAGGACTTCCGGGAAGAGCAGTGCTCTCAGTTCGATGGCAAGCACTTTAATATCAACGGTCTACCTCCCGCCGTCAGATGGGTCCCCAAGTACAGCGGCAGTGAGTACACTCGCAGAACAAGAGGCGTTGGGCAAATGTCGCAGATTTGAAATCAAACACTGCAGTCAGTTGATTTAAAGACTTGATATTGTCACTTTGAAATCAAATTTTGGTGTGCATGAAAAAGCTGCTGTTGTTTATTTCCACCATCTTGTGTCTGTCATTTGCACATCATGATGCATTGAAATTCCTTCAAGGATTTTGCTTTTTGTATTAACTTTGATTTTTATAATAAGTTGGCAAAGGATGTGATAAAATAGCAGGTAATAGATGTACTTTAACAATCTCAGACATTTGAAACAAAATGTAGAAATTAGCAGAAATGCATTAAATTATTATTACTTTATCTAAAGATACATTCACACGGCAGATCTTGATGTTGATTTGAAATATTTTGCCGTGACCACAACTAGACATTTGAGTGAACGGTTTATGACCCCAAAGCAACAGACATGTGCAGAGGAAGACCACAGCCATCACCGTTTATGGAAGTAAAAATGGACACCACTATCAAGGTTTTTAAGCCAGGGGAACCAATGGGATTATCACAGATCATAACAACACAATAATCAAATTAATAAAAAGAAAGCACAACTAATAGTAATGAACTTTTGCGGAGCATTGAGTGCAACTTCTACAGAAAAATCTGTTTGGATGCGTCGTCAGGCCATGAGCAGTGGGATCTTTAATGACACAAAAGTTGGTTGTCCACCAAAGTGTCCACAAATGGGAGCTGATCATCTTGACTGTTCTTCTTGTGAGCTTGGGTTGTTTTCCTGCTTGTGTACCTTTAAAAATGCCTAAAGGCACAAGACAGTCAGATACTAAAAGTTGACATTTTGTCTTTTGAGAATCTGCTACCCATTAAGTGCTTCTCATCCGCTGCACTCTCCTGACATGGCACCGATTTTACTATCTGCCCTGTCAGTGATGCGAGAAAACATCAAGTTGGTAACCAGAAGTGCTGTAAAAGCCGCATGCGGCCCTTTCAAACCACCCTCCACCCTTCCCCCGACAGCTGCAACCCTACGCAGCTGCACCTCAGACAAGATGGACAACCCACAAGATTACCATCTGGTAAATTTACTGGAGGTGATTCACTCGTTTAATTGAGACCATACAGGCAAAGAAGACAACCCCTGGAGACGGCACTGTGTCAGATAAAACTTGACTTTCATCCAAGCGCTAAACAAAGATGTGGCTTAGAGGAGTCTGCTGATGTTTGCAGAAAAAGGTGTTATGAATTTGTGATCGCACAACTCACCCCCAGGTCTTTGCATTATGGTCTGTGTTTGCAATTAGTTCAATTAGTCCCAGTCTAACGGTTCCCCTTCCTCTTTCTGTTCAGTACTAATGAAGGATCGCTGCAAGCTCTTTTGCCGGGTCGCCGGCACTATGGCTTACTATCAGCTGAAGGACCGCGTGGTGGATGGCACTCCGTGTGGTCCAGACACTTACGACATCTGTGTTCAAGGCCTCTGCAGGGTAGATCTGCATATGTATTTTCTTGCTGTCACAGCACACTGTAAGACATATATACACAAGTTTAAATCTATGTCAGAAGTATTGTGTTGTAGTTGCAGAGAAGCCAGCGTTTGCAAGCTAAAGATGTGTTTACATACAGCTGGATGTAACTTGAGTAACTTTTTAGTTGACCATTTCCTGACATTTCAGCATTTTTCATTAGTAATTGTAAACAACAGTCTCTGTTTCTGCCCTTGATTAAAAATTCCCCAAATTCTTCAATCTAGCATATTCCATCACTCTGAGGTTGAACTCTCAGAGAGATGACACAGGGTGCAATAGTTCTATGCTATTGCATAGCTCTATGCAATAGCATAGAGCTATTGCCCTATGCTATTGCTAGCATAGAGAGAGATGCTATTGCTCTCTCTCTATAAATAGCATCCACACAATAAATAAAAAGTTTATTTCTAAATGGATTTGTATGGGTTGTGTGCTTCTTTTTTAAAAACCTCAATGTCATTGAAAAAGTTCTAGCTCCCTCATTTTGAAGATAATTTTTGTTACAGCTCATTTATGAGGCATTCACTAAATGGAAAAAGATCAGATTTTTTTTTTAGTTTCAACCCGGCCAAACTTTAATCAGTGCCAATTACAAAAAAAAGTCCAATTTCATTCAGAAATCAATTTTTTTTATCAAAGCATAAGTGTTTTTGGTAACATATAAATAAATCTAACTTTGACAGTGAGTATTGCATTCTTTTTTCTTTTTTGTTTGTGAAAATACCATGACATCTGATATAAATCGTCATGTCCTCTTGTCTTTTTAGCAAGCAGGCTGCGACCATGTTCTCAACTCAAAGGCAAGGAATGACAAATGTGGAGTGTGCGGTGGGGACAACTCCTCATGCAAAACTCTGGCGGGGACTTTCAACGACGCCCAGTACGGTAAGCACCGCTGCTCAGATTACCATCCTCTTTTAAAGCTGTCGCCGTTGCTCTTGAGTGTACACCATATCGTGTCAGCAGCTTCAGCAAGATAAATGGGGATACACAATAAACAAATAAGGGCCAAGGCAGATTTCCAATTCCTCTTTGTCACTGTGTTGACAGGACAGGCCACATGGCTGTGTTTGACTCTGATTTCTTGTCTGGTTATGTTTATTCACGTCATATTCACGTATGCATGTTTTTGACAAATTTGGGAAAATGCCCAATCGAAGCCAATCTCCTCCAAAGCTGTAGAAAACGATGAACCTACCGCAGCGTGTCATTTTGCCTCAACGGCAACAAACGTGCAGTGTGAGCCAGTTGGGCAGCAGCCCATGGTCTGGGCAACAGCACAGCTGAAGCATTAGCAAATAACATACAGCCCTGGGTGGGGTTTTCCTCTTGTTTACGCCTGCAAGTTTGACACAAAGCCTTTGCATCTCTGTCTGGTAGCTTTCATTCTGCTCTCTCTCTCTTGGCTGCTTGGAGGCAAAAAGATGGAAGACTGAATTCAACCACACCAGCTGCTGACATCAGTCGTGGAAATCTGGCTTAACTTTAAAACGGGGGAAACAAGTGGGAGTGCAGCCCAGGCAGGACATCCTCCTGCTTCATGGATCTGGGCTCCTCCTTTTTGTTTCTTTTGTTAGATGCGGACTATTGACCTTTTTCTTTATTTAGTCTTCATGACTAGGTCCCTGATTTGATTAAAAAAAAAAAAGCAATGAGGAACACCGAGATCACCCAACAGTCTCATGATGCCCCAACAGTGAAGTTTGGACTTTTAGTTGTGACACTTGAAAAAATTGGACAAAAATAAATGTGTTAATTTGGTACCAAAGATTTATAAAGAAACTTTATTTTATTAGAGTCTTTTCTCCAGCTCTATAGAGCATAGAATAGCCCAGAGCGTCCCCTCCCTCACCTGTTGCTGCAAATCAAATGACTGAAAAAAGGTTTAGAGATTTTTTCTTTGTCAACAAAATGGCAAATTTTACTGCCGAAAAACATTTCTAATTAAGAAATTGAGAAGTGTAAACCTCAAGCTTTCAGATTGTGACGTTCTATAATCTAGACTTTTACTCTGTCTCAGTGGACTCTTACGAAGACAATAACACTACAACTATGATGTGTGAAACACCATGAAGAGCAGAATATCATAAAGGTAGATTATTCTTTGCAATAACCGTCTCAAAGCTACTAAGCTGATATTTGTTGAGATCAGTTAAGGTCAACCAGCCTTAAACTTTCAACATCTTCTATGCTATTTTTAGAGTGAATATGAGTTATTATAGCCATAAGAACAAAACAAGGAGAATGCAATAATGTGTGATTTTTATTTGTGAAAAAAAATAGGTGTCCTTATAATGGTATATATAAAATTATTTTTTATTTTTTGCACTGACACAAATTATTGTGACACAGGTAAATCATAATTAAATTTTCAGGGAACATTATGAAATCTGATGAGAGGTAGATAAGTAAACTGACTGCTGCCCCCGAGTGGCTCAAGGTGCGAGCTTAAACTTTGACTTAAAATCACTTTATGCTGATTTACTTCCCTAGCTTATTTAGCTCAAATTGCAATGATAGAAATTCAATTAAATCTCTTCAATGAAATGAAAATTTAATTCAAGCCACTGCCAATTCATGAGTGTTACTAAATGCTTAGCAAAAAGTCAACTTTTTAAAGACTAAAATAAAAAATAGCACCAAAAATGTAATGAAAAGAAAATAAGTTTCTAAATCGCCATTTTTAAGTATAAAACTTTCTGAATTAGAACTTAAGTTTCATATATATGATATGACAGGGTGAATTACTCTTGTTGTAACATGGAGTTTATGGAATACTCATCACTAATGGCATAATGGACTCAGGTGATGGGAAATTACATTAGAACAAAAACACTTGTGTACAAACAAAAGGTCTCACTTCCACATAAACTAAACGTCTGGTGCATTATTGATTGAAACACGTTCTTTATTCTGTGGAGTTATGCTGCATTTTATTTACCTCAGAAGAATTCTAATTAACATGCAATGTCGGAAGAGTCAGACTTTAACCGTGCTGCCGATGCCCGAGCAGACATTATTCTGCGTTTTTACTTTCCATAAGCAAACACAAACATAATTTGTTGCAGGTGCTTCTTGCAGCATTAATTTTACAAGTGTGTCTTGTAAAATAAACATGTTTCCACTTCAATTTTACTACTGCTGGTGGGTGGAGCGGCCCATACTGAAGTGTAAAGTTGACCTTTCGAATCGTAACGGTGTGTGGTTTTAGTTTCTCAGGCTTTCCAAGCAGAAAGTCTACAGTTGTTTTTTTTTTTCAATTTCTACCTTCTGACTACTAATGCATCACACAGACACTCGCAGTGGGTGAAGTTTCCAGAAGTTGTACATAAGAGTTGCAGTACTTCATATTGATAATGAAATGCAAGTGTCTTTCTATATTATGGTCTTCATATGTACATTTTAGTTGTTACTACTTGGCTTTCAATGAATTGCTCTCTTTGTCTTTATTTCTCTTACACACTCATACACACGCACACACTCCCTTATTTTCTGTGTCAGGCTATCACCATGCAACAAAAAAAGGTGCCGTAATTACAGGCCAAAATAGAAAGGCCAGGGAGTAATTACAGATCATTCTGTGAACAGCCCTCTGGAACTAAAAACAAGTTCTCATGCAGATTATTTTAGATGACAGTTTTCATATCTCTCCAAGTGTGACATTTAAATCCCCAGTCGAGAGACCTGGGCTTCCCTGAATGGAGTTTATTATAGCACAATGAAGCTATTACAAAAGTCAAGTCTGAATCTTTCTACTTTATTCCCTTTCGAGACTTCTTGCAACATGTGCAGCTTTCCATGTCTGACATTTTTCTCTATGCATTTTGTTGTTGTTTTTTGCTCAGGCTATAACACAGTCGTACGGATTCCAGCCGGAGCCACCAACATTGACATCAAACAGGTTAGCTACTCTGGAAAACCAGAAGATGACAACTACCTCGGTGAGTGGGCTTTCTGAATGTCCATGGAATTAAACATTTTAATAGACAACAACAAAAAATTCAAAATATAGCTTTCAGATGGCGATTTCATTTATTAATGGAAGCAACTATCCAAGCTAACCTGGTCCCATTAGAACGTTTATCCCCAACGTCTTGTTAAAACATAATTTACTTTGACTGACCACATTTGGTTAATTTTTCTGTGTCAAATTCATATTTGATTACAGCCAAACCTGGAAAATCAAGAAAATCACTCAAATAGAACGAGACTGATACAACGAAATAGATGAAAAGATGTCAAGAAACACCTCATCATGCCCTGATCTAAAAAAAATAAATGAAATAAAAACGAAACAGAAATGTTGAAAAGTTCCTGATATGAATCAGTCTTTAAAGGAATCACAAAGAGGTGATCTGGTGAATTGGTCATAAACAGAGAAATCCTGTAATAGTGACAAGAAGTTGTCGGCCGACCCAAAATCACTCCAAAAGCGCATCAGTGACTTGGTGTCAGTAAAAACCTATTCGACACTAAAGCACTGCAGAGCTCACTTGGATTTGTTAAGGTCAAAGTTCATGATTTAAGAAAACAATTGATTTAAGGAAATGTTCTTAGAACAAGAGTGGAGCATATATCAATTTTTCCTCACTTGTCTCATATACTGACATAATGACAGTTATGTATGTGGCAGTAAGTGTCAATTTTAACAAGTTATGTGAAAAATGGTTACCTGTCTAAGCAGAGATATGTAGGGGACTCACAATGGTCAATGCTATTATTCTTTTTAGAACCTCATTTTAAAACCATTTATCACTTTTTGACCCTGATCTGGAAAGGTTGTTATTTGTAATAAAAGGAAATGGAAAAGAGGCCAAACTGGTGTCCAAACACTTCAAACGAATCTACAATTTTAATTGAGCTTTGACAACATGGGATCTCAAGAAGGGTGTTCATCCATCTGGGTTGGTTGAGGTTTTGTTAGGAATGAAGAGTTAGCCATGTGAACGATAAATGAGGCTTTAATAAGTGCTAATTGGAAACATGTGCAACACAGGCTGTGTGAAAGCTGATATACGGACGTAAGGATATGTTGATCTTTGTCCGTCTGTGTATGTTTGTTTTTAAGCAAGAGATTGATGGAAAGAAAGGTAAAACAAAAATTTGGCAAAAGATCTTGAAAGGTGTATTTATTCATATAATAACCACAATATTTTTTTAAACTATTTTCAATTTTATTGTCTCTCCTATTGGATAAGACAGGAAAAAAAACACACATGTTGAAGAATTCAAACCCAGAATCCAAATATCTTTTTATAAATCTATAAAAGTTCAGAATAAATCTGTATTCCTGATTGAAAAGTTTCTCAACTAAACAAGCAAGACATGATGCAAAAGCAGCATCTACAAAGTTTGTAGTGTTGTAAATGATCAGCACTAAGAGAAATGTTTTAGTTATGCATAAAAACAAAGCTTTTTCCTAATTTGGCCTCAATCATTCTTGCTCATGTGTTTAACTGTTCTGTCTCTTTTTCTTTCCTGGGTTAGTCTAAATAAAACATTTCTTATTTTATGCTATTCTTAAACCTTTATACACTTGAAAGCATCGAGGCCAAATTAGTTGTGTTCTTTGGAAAACAGTGTTTCACATCTGGTGTCTGTCAGGCATAAAGAAAGATTGCATCTGTTTATGTCCTATGTAGCATGTAGTCCATGTATGCGACTCTGTGTTTTTCAGCCACATTCGTGCGGTACGTTAGCCGTGACAAGTTGAGATCATTGTCAGTTAAAATTGGTTTGCCGGAATGCACCAATATCAAATTAGAGGATAAACAAAGTTTTATCTGCAGGAATAAATAATTAATTCAGTTTGGTGAATACCACTGGATTGGAATCAACTCCAGGTTTCTTGGAAAATATATATTTCACTGTAGAGGATTTGACCATAAATGAATACATTTGTATTGATACAAATGAACATTTATGTACTCATTTGAATTTGCAGTTAGTCGAAAGACTTTGTTTACATTGCAGTGCCAGTATTTGGTGGGTTTACAAAGTATTGACTCTGGGGGGCATTTCTTCATTTAATTTTTATTTTATGTTCATGTTATGTTAATCATTTGAAAGCAATTTACAACACCCCTCACAATTCAAAATGTTGTACTTTTTTGGGTGTGTATTTCATTAAATTGAAATAAAATGCATAAAAGTTTGTTTATGTAGCAAATTTTGAAAAAAAGTCATATTTGTATGAGTACTTTTCACAGCAATATTTTAATTTGATTTAATTCTTTTCTTTGTGCACAAATAACCTTTCCTCGTTCTTCTGCTTCATTTTTTTTCAGCTTTATCTGATGGACAGTCTAACTTCCTCCTGAATGGGAACTTTGTGGTGGCAATGTTCAAAAGGGAAATCACCTTCAAGGGAACGGTCATCGAGTACAGCGGCTCGGATGCAATAGTTGAGCGCATCAACTGCACGGACCGCATCGAGGAAGAGCTAATTTTACAGGTACACAAAACATTTGCATTTTTGTTTTATTTACCAAGTCAGTGTTGATAGAGCCTTATTTTGAACATAAACCTCTGCAGAAGGTTTGCTTTGTTGCAGTTGTAATAGAGTTTTGTTTCGGCAGGTCTTGTGCGTGGGAAACCTTTACAACCCAGATGTGCGTTACTCCTTCAACATACCCATCGAGGAGCAAAGGGAGCAGTTTGTGTGGGATCCCTCGGGCTCCTGGCTTGAATGCAGCCGCCTTTGTCAAGGTAAGACCTCAGCTGTGCTGTGCAGGCCGCTCTTAGTGGTGTGGGGACGGCGTGGTCATTCATGCAAATTTATCATTTGCATGAATGCCAGAAAATCCTGGTTTCCTACATCAGATGTCACCAGTCTCTTGATTCCTTGGGATTGGTTTTTATTTCTCTGCCAGTTCACACGCTTCTCTGATTATTGCTCTCTTTCTCTGTTGCCGTTTGCTTGTTTACATTGACTGCTGGGTCTTTGTAAGTGTGAAACTGCCATGCACTGTGTAACCATAGAGTCTGCCATTTTGATCAAAGTGCAAAGTGGAAAAATGTAAGGACATTTATGCGGGTTCTCGGGCAAAACATAAATATAGTTACAAGGAGCTATCTAATGCCAACCTTCATTTTCGTCCTGTGTTCAGGTGAGAGACGACGGAAGGCAGTGTGCATTAGGGACAGCGATCACCTTGAAGTATCCGATCAACGCTGTGAACATTTACCTCGCCCCGTTGCTTTTACTGAGCCCTGCAACACTGACTGCGAAGTCAGGTGGGAATTCAGGAACCAAAACAACCACAATACAAATATGCACCCCTTCGACAAACCCCCAGCATTCCCAAATGTTTACGCAAACATCTTTTACTCTACAGATGGCACGTCGCTGGAAAGAGTGAGTGTTCGGCGAAATGCGGCCCCGGCTACCGCAGCCTGGATGTTCAGTGTATGAAGTATAGCCAGATGAAGAGTCGGAGCGAGAGGATGGAGGCTAGCGTCTGCAGCGACATCGCCAAACCTCAGACGAGGGAGACCTGCCACGGGGATTGTCTGCTTAAGAGCTGGCAGTACAGCGCATGGTCGCAGGTAATGTCTGCAGAAAATAACTGTTGCAAGCTTGACCCTTATTGCCAAAACTGCACTGAAATGTTTTGCTGTGCAGTGCTCTAAGACGTGTGGACGTGGGATTCGTAGCAGAGAGTCTTACTGTCTGAACAACCTGGGCCGGCGGTTGGTGGACAGAGAGTGCAGCGACTACGAGAGGGTGGTGACCGAGTCCTGCAGCGAACAGCCGTGTCCAAAGTGGACAGTCAGTGAGTGGAGCGAGGTGGGCTCTCACAAGCACACACCAAAAGCATGAATAATTTGTAAATAGTTCTCCATTTGCATTCAAGTAAGCCTCTTTTAAACCTTGTGAAATGCTGATTAAAAACTGCAACTTTTGCAAATTCAAGTTTGGTAAGCGAATGCAACAAATCTAACCCAGGTTTTGTTTTTGTTTTTTTAATTCCACATTCAGTGAAATAAGCATGGCTGTCAAACATAAAACGATATTTGTAAATTGTGCTGTTTCGGGAGTGGAATGTTTGATATTATCTCTATACACCAGATAGAAATGACAGTTTCATCCTCTCTTTTCCCAAATGCCCAAACACAACCAGTGTCTGGTGACTTGTGGGAAAGGAATGAGACACCGCCAAGTGTCCTGCACTACGGGAGCTGGCGAGGAAACGCTGAGCGAACATTTCTGTGACCCATCCAGTAAACCTTCCACTGTGGGGAGCTGCAAACTCCCCGAGTGTGCAACGTGGCAGGTCGGCGTCTGGGGAGCGGTGAGTTCAATACGCTCTCTCACAGATATACTGTAAATTATTCTTGAACAATAGTTAATATGCAAGCTAGATTAGTTAAAATAACTACATTAAAAAAATGTCTCAAAATATGGAGGTTAGAAATGAAAAGTACAAGAAACACATAAACACTTATAAGTTAGTGCTGAGCAAGCATAGCTTGATAAATTGTGTTTGGGAGAAATTATTTTGTTGCATTGCATAAGGTAAACCTTTCAGTTCCTGCATTTTACTGGTTACTTCCCCAGAAATAGTAAATGGTAATCTGACATTTGTATGATCTCACTAGTTACTTTCCTGGAACTTCCCTTGACATTAATATTTATTCTGCAGAAATTTAGAGGTTACTTTCTAACCTTTAGATATTTACTACCTGATATCTAAAGCGCAGCAGTTTTAGATATCAGGTAATTTTACTCTCCATAACTTACCAGGTATTCCTCTGTAACTTTCTGTTTGTGTCCCGTGAACTTACTGGGTCTGTCTACCAAGTTCTTTATAAAACACCCCGCATACTTATACTGAACTTTAATTCACTTTCTGAAACTTACCAGGCTTTTTACTGGAACTTAATGCTTAGTACTTTACTCTTAGTTATAAAAGTGACCTTTTGGGTCACTTTTGTGACAGTCCTCGAACTTCATTTGAACTTAATCAAACGTTATCAGAGATGTTTTTGGAAGATTTTTGAATTATCACATTTCCCCAAGTTACTGTAGCAGGTCAGGTTACGACAGTTTCCAGAGTAATTGCAGAATGTCTGAGAGGTTTCCAGGATAATAACCTTTAAATTCTAAATACCGGAAAGTTACTTCAGAGTTTCAGGAAAATATGTCGATATATCTTTTATTCAGTCTTCATAGTCCATCTGATGATCCAGTGGTTTTTATTTTAGACTGCTGTTGTTTTTGTGTATATTTCGGCTGATAATTAAGAAGCTCTTTGTAAATCCATCTTTCATTTTCTCTGAGATTCTTTCAATTTTCTCTCATTTTCTTGCTGGACTTTTATTTTTTCACACATGCAATTCCTTTCTTACTGACGATTCAAACTTTGGATTCAGGTATTGGAGCGAATTCAGCGAACAACTCAAACATCTATGAATGGATGCCATTGTATAGCTTATACATGCAAGGTTGATTCCTCCCCACATGTTTATATGAAATAAGATATTTGCAAGGCTGCAGGATATCTTCCCTTCTTTGCTTGTGTGATTATAAATTGCTGGTCAAATAAACATGGTGTTTCTAATCATAGTCGGATGGCTGTGTAAGTGAAGGGGCAATTAGGTGAAGGGTCAGGTTGACTCTGTGGGTGAACTTACGTTTCTGTATATAAGTGCATGTCAAAGTCTTAATCATCTTTTCGCTTGACGGACGTTGACTGACCTCACAAAAGAGAGGGCTTCAACTATCTTATTTTTTTTCCCTTTTCTTTTTAAATTTGCATCTGAGCATGTGTGTGGTTTTGTGTTTCAGTGTGCAGTGACCTGCGGACATGGGTACCAGATGAGGGCTGTGAGATGCGTCTCAGGGGACTACGGAGACTCGGTAGATGACAGAGAGTGCAACGCTGCAGCGAGGCCCAGAGACAGTCAAGTAGGGCTATAACGACATTTTAAGAAACAAACTATTAAGCAAACTGCTTACACACTAAAGAGTGTAGACTTCATTTGTATGTATTTTGGTGACAAAATGCAGTTTGTTTTGCAAAACAATACATTCTACGGTAAATATACCAACTATTTTGTTACATGTGTAAATATACACTTTTTTCAATGTACATTGGGTCTCTTTTGTTGTGTAAAGATATCTATACTTTTTTGTCTTTTCTTACTTTTTTATCTTTTCTTACTTATACATAACAAATTTACATTCCTATTGCTTTTTTGCTCTGGTACCAGTTAGAGCATTTTTACCAAGGAATCTTTTTAGTTTGTTTGGTGTAAATTCTAGCAAGAATAATCTGGATTTTTAACAATTTTTGTTATTTATTTTTGAGATACTTCCAGACAATATTTTAGTTTCTTATTCTAATCCTCTTGTAAACTGTGGTGATTTCTATTTTTGTAGGACTGTGAGATGCCCACATGTCCACGGACCTCTGCATCTCAAATGACACCTCGTCCTGACAACACTGTTCAGCTTGTGACTCAGTGGAGATTCGGCTCCTGGACTTCTGTAAGAACTGATGGGTTAGATGTTTTATCCGTGGTGCTTGTCGAGCACAATAGAAGTCAATCACCAGTTTATGCTTGTTATTTTACATGTGTAGGTAAAGGGAACGGCAATAATATCTGACCCAAGTATCCTGTGTATTTGGTAGAAGCAAACCATACACAAGTAACTGCTTGCCTCTGGTCTGCTATGTCTGGTTTTAAGTTTGAGGGTCTTATCCAAATGACTTGACATGTTTTCCATTTTTCCCGCGTGCAACTTCTTCTATGCGGCTATTATCTTTTTTACGGTTTGGTATTTTTGTAGCTTCACTTTCTTTCTCACACAAATAAAAAATGCAGACACACACATGGGCTTGGAGGCCCCTCCATCTCCCTAATAGTTTGCATTGTTACATAAATGAAAAGCAGATCTCATTTCAACATGACTGTACAGTTTCTGCAGTTGAACCGTCTCCGTCAGTCTGAAAGTTGATGTGAGCTCATATGCCAAGCAGGCCTCTACCAGACACCTTCAGACACACACACACACCCGCACACACACGCACACACACACACACACACACACACACACCACACACACACGCACACACCACACACACACACACACACACACACACACACACACACACGCACACACACACACACACGCACACACACACACACATGCACCAAAGGAGAAACTCTTTCTTGCTCCTTAACGAATCATTGTAGGTTGTATCACATGTTCATCAGTCAGACTTGAGGTTTTCCTCAGCTGCAAAAATGCTCTCGGTGCTTCTCTGGAGTTTACAATATTGTATAATACATCGATTCACAATAAACATTTTATCTGAAGGATTTAGATTTGTTAATTTTCATGATCATGACAATGTAATTCTAATTATTATTTTAGTAATTTGATGCCAGACTCCAATCCAATGTAAAATTGTTGGTTAAAGTTGATGTTTGCAGACATTATGCATCTAATCTAATTAACCACAAACTAGTTTGTAGATAATAGTTTACAATAAAATATACAAAGATGACAGACATGTATACTGTTAGAGACTTGTAAAAGATCGTTGTGTTGTATGTTAACTCAAGAGGGCTGAGTTACACAGATACATGTATTTGTTGGTTTATCAAATAAAGCCACAATAAATACAATGAGTTTGTTGTATAAATACTTTTGCAAATGTATGAAAAAAAAAAAAAGCTTTTTGACTTTTGTTTGTGTGGCGTTTAACATAACCAGTTATCTGAGTCTGCTTCTCATACAGTTAAATTCTTTCTTTACAAATTACTGTGACAAAAAAAAAAAAAAAAACAGTTTTCTTTTCTATTAGAGTTGAAAACACAAAATTTTTAATTAAGCGTTTTAGGTTTTTCCTAATTCTCAGAAGCTTAAAAGTTGTGCATTTTCTAATTAGTGACTGTCTTTTTTTTATCTATTTTTGCGTAGTGCTCTGTGTCGTGTGGCAAGGGGAAGCGTGCGCGTTACGTCAGCTGCAGAGACGCTCAGGGCGGAGTGGCTGACGAATCGTACTGCGCTCACCTGCCGCGCCCCCCAGAGTTCTCCACCTGTTTCAGCCCCTGTGGTCAGTGGCAAGCTGGAGAATGGTCTGCTGTAAGTAAAACATCAAAGGCAACGTCGCAGTCTTGCACAATTACTCCTTGGTTTATTTTTCCATTTAAAAGCAGTATTGCGGTGAAGCTCGTAGTTATTTAACATCATTGTTCAATTTTAAACTCTATGATCATATGAGGGAAAAAAAGTCTGTTTAATAACCCTTTAAAACCAAATGAACTTCTTTGATGGAAAAATAAGTCTGTTAAATTTAATTTGGCACATTAAATTGATTTCTCCTTCATTTTCTCAGTGGAAGCTTTACAAGTGTTCAGATCTTGAGGCGTAGCATTGTTAAGCAGTTCGTGGAAACAATTACAAGCAACACTCTGTTAACTTTGGGCCAAAATCTGGACCTGGAAAATCTCCTAGAAAAATCTAATTAGACAAAGAAGTTCAAATAATTCGGGGCAAGGAGTCCATGTAGGTGTCAATAGCCAGGGATTCAAACTGAACACAAACTGAATGTCAAAATGTTGTGAGATTTCTCTGTGGTTCATCAAGTACCTTAGGGGAGGCAACATCTGGTCAAAACTGAAAAAAATAAAAACAAGAACATTTTGCTTTGTAGACTAGAAATGCAGTGTTTCCCCTACCATTATTTGCCCCATAATAGTGGGTGCTGCACAAAGAGACCACCCACAACCCTCAAAAAATGTCATCAGTTTTATTACCCTATCTAAATAACGCAAGATCAAATCATGACATGTTTCTGTCCCTATCTGGGTACTTTGCTACTCTCTCAAACTGGGTTTAATGTCGAAGCATTGAGCGAGTGTGTGTGGCTGACGCAGCATCTGGTCATGACACCTGGTTGTACAACACCTCTGAACTTTTGTAGCTCTGCACCACCTTCCACTTTGGATAATTTGGAGGGTGTTCTTGCAGAACAAGTTCGCCTGTATTGGCATTTATGTGTTCCCTCATTTTCAGAGAAAACTGTAGTGCACCAATGGACACATCGAACACTGCTTGCTCGTTTGCAGTAAATGCAAACTTTTAAAAGTCCATCTATAACTCTCCTTTGCTCTACTGCGAGTTGGAGACAAAGTAAATCTACTCCTGATACACTTGACGATGGAACAGGAGTACAAAATAAAGTGCTTCTACTCTTGACACGCAGCAAAAATCTGGTCATCACTGAATAAAAACTTTTAACCAGGAAATGCTTCCTGTGGCTGCATGAAACTGAGCTTTGTAAGGAGATACGTAAGTGATAGGGAGACATATATAACAGCCACAACCTAAAAAGGAGAAATAGAAAGGAAATAAGAAATAAAGAACATTTCCAATTTATATATTTTTTTAATTCATCAATGTTCTGTCGAATATGTAAACATATTCCAGACATGTTCTAGTACTTCTTCAGTAGCCATTAAGGTTAATACTTTGATTACATCATTCAATTGCACAAGATAGTGGTTGATTTAATAAAGTAAAGTAAAGATGCACCGATTGCAGTTTTCTGGCTGATCACTGATCTTTAAAACCCCTGTCCGGCCGGCACCAATTGATTCCAGGAAAATAAAGTCCTTATATTAAACACGACAGTCACAGTAAAATTGTAATAAAATTTAACAGCTATAATTTACAAGTTTTTTTTTTTTTTTTACCTTGATTCAATCAATATTAGTAAATTAACCTTAAAATGCAGTTAATTTGATGAAATGTACAAACAAGAAATCTGGTGGTTTTACAGACTCAAGTCGTAACCTGAAACGGCACCAAACACACCACCAGCAACAACCAACAGTATATGTAAATATTTCATTGCAGATATTTGCTGAATGTTGTGATATTAGATACATGTAGTCATTTCCCTTAAATGATTGTATTTTTGCATTTTTATAACTTGTGCAAAACTCTATGAAGTGTCACATTTTCACATTGGAAAAAACTGACAATTTATTTTCTCTCTTTTGTGCTTGAAAACATTTCCTCCTGACTTTCCCAGTGTTCGGTGACATGCGGCGTCGGACGGACCACCAGACACGTGGTCTGCTCCAACTACCACCAGCCAGTGGACCAGTCTTTCTGCGATCCCGACGAAAGGCCCGCAGCCGAGCAAGAGTGCACGGCTGCTCCCTGCCCCTCCGCCTACAACCGTCAGCACATTTACGAACAACCATATGGATATCCTCAGGATCCAGGACGTCATCCGGGACACAGCAGCTGGAACGTCCCGTCTGCAGACAACCAGTGGAGGACAGGACCGTGGGGCGCAGTACGTTCAGCACAAATAGCATGTTTGAGAAAATAGTGTTTGCCTGCACTTCAGGTATGCGTGTATGTTTTTCTTTTTTTTTTTTTTTTTTTTTTGTGCGAATGCAGTCTTTTGAACCAATTAGGTTTGAACGTGCGGAAGCAGATGGTTTTTTTTCTCGAAGCAGAAGGCCATACATGGTAACACACAAGTGGAGACACAGTGAACCTCATGATGTACTTTATGTTCTGACACGGATATTTTGGTTAGCTTGTGAAAAAAACCCAAAACGTTTCCATGATGAAACTGACAAAATGAAAACAGTTGTAAATCCTGAAGGCAGATGAAGCAGCAAGCATTTTGTTTTTAACTCATTTGCAATTTCACATTTATCAACTTAATTTTACCCTTCATGGTGATTTTATTCTACGTCAAAATGTTAGAAAAAAAAATCCTCCTTGCAATCTGGTGGTTTTAATTTGGAATTACACTGTTTCCGCAGCGTCTAGATTCAGTCAGTTCTGTCCTCCCCACATGAAGCCGGTACTCTGTGTTCTCCCTCCCATTAACAGAAGGGATGCATCATCATAATTTGATTCAGAGCCATTCAATTACCTGTATCAAGGCACAATTTTGACATTTTTTGGAAAATGTTTGTTCATGGTTAGATTATCTTGGTGCTGATTTCAATACTGGCACTGAGTGGTTCTTGTTTGGGGATCAAAAAAGATATTTAAACTACGTCTGTTTTCATCAGGAAATGAAAAATCCTTAGCTATTGTGCTGTTCCTTTAAACTTGACTGATGTAGAAAAAAAATATTGACATTATTTCATTTTTTTTTAGTACATTTAGTATAGTGTGCTTACAAATACATGACCTTTCATCTTGTAATCAAGATAAAAACTCATCTTGATCACTTAAATACAGTGTAATCTAGCAAACAAGACCTGAGACAGAAGTGGAGCCTCACCTTCCTCCAGGAGAACAGCTGTAAATGTACAGCCAAAGCTGCAGTGGCATGGTCTAGAGCTATGGTCCAGTTAAAGTGTAGACCTAAAACTTTCCTTCAGCTTTAATAAAACAAAACAAAAACAGCCCTCTGTGTTGGTCTATCACATAGATTCCCCATAAAATCAAAGTTATTCTGTACAACTAAGGGTTTTTAATACCTTTGCAGTCCTTTCATATCTTTTCATACCAAGACAAATGAAAACAGTGCTCAGGCGTCAAATTGTTTGAATTGAAATCAATATAAACAAACAGGCCCTGCGACAGACTGGCAACCTGTGCAGGTTGACCCCGCCTCTCGCCCGGAACGTAGCTCTAGATGGGCACCAGCACCTCCCGACCCCATTAGGGGTAAGGATGAACAGAAAATGGATGGATGGATAAACAAATATTAAAGCTGAAGTATTTCTGGTAAAAACTGGCCAAAACGATAGAATTCCAAGCAGCAATCTGGCAGATCGCAGGGATTGACATATTTAAAGACCCACAAATGGATATAAGGAATGCATCCTGATGTGTTTGTTCGGTGTTTTCTTCAGTGCTCCAGCACCTGTGCGGGAGGCTTCCAGAGACGAGTGGTGGTCTGCCAGGACGCCGATGGGCGGAGCAACAGCTACTGTGATGAAAGGGTCAAACCTGCCGAGTCCAAGAGCTGCGACTCCGGGCCCTGCCCTCTGTGGAACTACGGGGTCTGGGGAGAGGTGAGACTAAATTCAGGGTTACAGTCTTTCCTTGTACCTGATCTTTTTTAAAATTGTATGTTTTATTTGAATTGAAAGACTCCTGCGCTCTAAGGACGTTCTAAATTCATGTGACAGGTAGTTTTAGGATCCAAATGAAGAAACATTGGAGACAGGGTTAGATGCAAAACCTTGATGTGGCCCAACATGAAAATGAGTTTCACACCACTGATCTAAGGTGTGTGCTGGATTTTCTTCCATTAATCTCGGCTGCAGAAAGAGAGCCTGACAATGGCCAGATTAATGGGGGAAAAGTAAAGCTTCCACAACAGCATCAGAAGTTTGATACATTTGCTCCACTGTTTCCCTCAGTGCACCCAGACTTGTGGTGGAGGGAGGAAGACTCGCCTAGTGGTGTGTCAAAGGCCCAGCGGGCAGAGACTCAACGACTACAACTGTGACGTCCTGGACAAGCCGCCTGACATGGAGCAGTGCAACCTCCAGTCCTGCCCAGGCGCTGCGTCCTGGCATCGCCGACCGTGGAAGCCGGTACGATAGTACTAATTTCTCTTCGACATTTACTTTCCTCAATAGGGGTGCATCACTGTGAAAAGAGATTGTGTGTTATGATATGGCTCCAGGCGGGAAAACTGTAGGAGTTCCTGAAGTAAATGCCAGGTATCGAGCTTCACTGTTTACTAGCCAACTTCAGCCCACCCAGATGGGCCCCTCAGTGGCATGGTGCTGATTAGAATGCAAAAAAACCCCAAAAAACAACCAAACAAAAAAAACAAAAACAAAAACACGCAGCAACGATGCTGCTCCACCTAGAGCGTCATTAAAAACACACGGAAACTATTTGGACTCTAGGCTTCAAATTAAAACCTGTAAATCAGGACAGCGCTGTCCAACAGTGCCTTAGGTTTATGGAGGGAAGTATTTATTTCATTTATTAGGCGTGTCCTCACCCTGTATCTGCAGTACACAAGTGTATATTTGTGTATAAGAGTTAATATTATGGCCTTTATTGAACAGCAACAAAGGCCTCTCAATGTATTTTGTGTATGTTTCGTTGTACAGTTTGATTTTATTTTTCAAGTAGCTGGTTTTTGTAACAGAATATTTTATATTTCACTGGTGCTCCTGGTCAGACCTCTCCTACCCATGATAGGTAAATGCAGTTTGTACAGAGGAACATAGTTTTCATTCCTGGTTTTGATCGTGCTTGTACTCAAGCTGAATTTGAAAACGCTTCATCTCCGTTTGAAGGTCTGGAAAATCTCCAAGTAGTCAGAGTCACAGGCGGTTTGACAAAAGGTTGAAATGCCGTCTTAGAAATAACGTTAAGAGTTAACCAAAATAAAGTGCAATTAAATGTAGTGTCATTTGACAATACGCAACAGAAGAAAAGGCTTTTTTCTATACCAGGAAGAAGTTCTATTTGGTTAGTGAATCTTTTCCAGTTTGAGAGTGCCTCTACACTTATCGTTGCAACCCGCTGTAAAAATGAATAAAACTCATAAAATGCATGAATTTTTACTGGAGTAGCATAATGTAACACTGAACAACATAGAAAATTCCATATAAATGTTGAATGATGAGGAAAAAAAATCAACATCTTAATAAAGAATTGGCTTTTTTTCTCCTATTTCACCAGAGGGTGTGACTCTCCATTGCCCCCAGAATTGTTTTTTATTACATTTTTGCACGATTTCCCTTGAGTTGATTTGTGCCACGTTGCAGAGGTAGCAAGTCACATGACTGGGCCGTGCCGTGTTTTCGACACACAAAGTCAACTTGTGATACCACCTACCTCTTTAGCCAGTGAAACACAACTGGGCAATTTGAAAAACTGGGATGATTCATGTCCGTATCATGAAAGCAGTCATGCAGCATAATGATCGGAATAGTATTAAGAGATAGTTTATTCATACAAAATTGACTTTCCTCCAAAGTCATCTTGGAGGAAAGATAGATCTAAATCATTTAGAAAACAAGTTGGGTGAGTTGAGGAGAGCAAAAGAAAGAACTAGGATCTGGAGAAATTGTGCAGAGACAAAAGTTTAAAGGTTACATTTCTGTTTGTTTCAACCTTGTGAAATGAGTAGCAGAAGACAAAGAGGTGATATAAAAAGAAGAAAGTATTAGTATTAAAATCAAGTATATAAATAAAGTTAAAAAAAATAATAAATATGCTAAAACTAAGTTTTATTTTTGTTAGAGTGAAATTATGCTACTCCAATAAAAAAAACTTACTTTAAAGCTGCAGTTGGCATCTGTTTTTTAATTGTGTTTACATATTAGTTAAAACTGTCACTATGTCCTAAGAATAGAATGAGACAGATGATGTGTTTCTTAGCTGTGTCAATCATGATGGTGTACGAGCTGCTGCTCATACCCTCCGTCCACACAACACGTAAAGCCATTCAAGGTCGAGATTGCTAATTTGTTGCAGTTGTGCTAATGACATAGAAACTACCTAACGCTACAAGTAAGCGATCTATCCCCCGCCATCGGTGGTCATGTCATCAAATTGTGAAGATTCTCTCAAAACTCTGGACTGCAGCTTTAAGGTTTATTACACATATGGCTCCATAATGTAATTTCTCCATCCCATTAAGTAAAAAACAGGATCTTCCAAAAATAATTCAACTTTTGCCTGGGATCTCAGTTAGACATGTCGGCTTGGCACTTTAGAGCCAATACTTGCATCACTTTTGCAAATGAGTGAAATTCGAAACAAACAATATTCGCAGCTTCTGTGCACTTCTTTAAATAGAATAGTGAAACGTTCTTGGTATTGTTGAGTTTGATCAGGTTTCAAGTTTTAAAAAGTATTTATTTCATTACATTGGTGCTGTTGACCGCAAATTCAAACATTGGCACACAGATGCTTTTCCGGTCGTCCGTTGTTGTTTTTATTTCTGCGTATGGCCAGTTTTTTTTTGTTTTGTTCTGAAGGATTCTTGTTCTAAAATAAACATATATAAATATGTACGTATTTATTTCTTTAGAACAGATTATTAATTGTTGCAGCTCTAATATTTCTTCCAGTTCTGACTGAACACTTGACCAAAGTTACTTTCCATTTTTAAAAGTGAACAATTACCTCCAAAGTTTTTAACTTCACCTCAGTTTAAAGGTTTTGCAAATAGGTGCAGATATAAATAAATTATTATAAAAAATATAAAAAAGAAAATGCAGATTTTGTATGTTGTTATGACATGAAGCCTTAAAAAAATGAGTAAAAGCTAAAAAAAAAAAAAAACATCATATTTACATCAATAAACAACATGTGAAAACTGTCAGTAAGACAGAGCAGAAGGTTTTAGTGGGTTGTAAAAAACAAACAAACACAAAGAGCATTCAAATATCAGCTTTAACGCTGAGAAATGATGTCGATCTGGTCAAACAAATTAAGCTTTGATCACGTTTTCCAAATAAATGCTCAAGTTTAATTTACAGTCCTACAAATTAATAACCTTCTGTTGGCAGTCACTGGTTATTTTATCTAAGATTAACTCACCAGAGATCTGGGATCATTTCTGAAGAGGATACATAGGTGGATCCCCGTCTGGTTGTTCCTGCTCCTTACTCTTATTACGTATGCATGCATGCGTGTGTGTGTGTGTGTGTGTCAGTATGTTCATTAAAACCTTGCCATGGTGCTATGGTGGTTTCACTTCCACAGTCTGTTTTTTTTTTCTTTTATATTTTGTGGTCCAAAAAACAAAATGAATCAATTCTACGTTATTGTCATTATGATAATAATAGTTATTATTATTTTGTATTGTTTCGGTTCAATGTTGTTTTTTGTTTTTGTTTTGCTATTTATTTCATTCACATGCAAGATACTTAGGTTATGTTGAGCATTTTTATGTAAAAACTATTAAAGAGACGTAACTGTAACATTTGTGTTGTTTCTTAACATTATCCCTATAAGCGAAATAAAATTTGCTTTTGAAAATACTTCTCTGATCTCTAAAAGAACCCCACTAAGCACATAAAACTTGGCAATACTTCAAGGATGCGAATTGCAAGAAAATAAAAACACACCACAGAAAGTCGAATCCTTAAATATGTATAGTTTATTGTTTTGGCTGGATAGACATTTTTATGACATGCAACTGGATTCAGCACTTGGTTGTGTTTTTGGATGGGGTGCATACAAAGGACTTTTTGTAATCAAGGCACTTTTTTACTTGTCATTTAAAGTACATCTAGTGAATCAGACCCTGCTGTGTAAAACGAAGCGATTTTATAGTAGTGATGCACCAATCAATCAGTCAGTGATTCAAATCAGCCTTTATTGGCCCTGATCAGTCATTAGCGCATCACATTGTGAACATTCAGGTTTTGTTTTGCGCTATTTATTAATCGTCTCAAATTTAGAAATCTGAACCAAATTCAGTCTATAAATATATCATCCATCATTATATGTGCACTATGATGCACTTTTAAGAGTTTATTAGAAGTCAAACAAAGATTAGGAACATAAAATATAATAATACCATTATGTCTTCTCTTTTCTGTCATATTTCAACTCAATATAAAGGACAAACTTCTATTGTTTTACATGTTAATCAGTTAAACACCAAATCATCTGGTCACAGCACAAAGCAAACCAGGCGTTGGCCTGGAAACTCCTGATTGGTGCATCTCCTTTTGTCTTCTTTTAATGTGTTTCACCATTTAGTTTTACAGTTTCCCTAGGGAAAGTAGACCAAGGAAAACATTGGCGCTGGGTGGCACATCTGCTTGCCATTGCCGTAATAGAGGTCTCAGTAATGCATTTGGCTCCAGACTGCAGACGTTCACTTTATTTACCGTAGCAATAATTTAGTTTAATTAATTTTGGCAAGGGTTGCACAGCTGAGAAAACCCACTAATCACACAAAGCAGACACTGGGACTCAAGAGGTAATTTTGAATAATAATCAAATCATAATTAGTCCCTTATCACAACAAAATTTAAGTACCTCATAAAACATCAAGGAATTGCCAATTATTGCCAGATACTAATACAGATAGCTTTTACTACAACTTGAGATAAATTTTCAGTAAATAAACTCGTTTTGCTCAATAAATTAATTTCCATTATTTGTACAGACAAAGAAAACAATAACTAAAGAAGAATGTGGGCTTTGAGTTTTTGAGAAAAAGGCCAAATATGGTAAATTAATTATTAAGGAGTGTTACAGCAATCTTGTAATATGGAAATCAGCCTAATTGTTTTTATCATATTGTAATAGTTATTTATCATATATGTTATTGTGAATTTCCCTCACATTCCTAGTTATCCCTAAATGTCAAATTTTCTCTCTCCTCTCTTTCTACCTATCTGTCTTTCTCTGAGTGTCCATATATTAGCAAAAATGTGTCAAGAGATCATAATTGTATGGAAATGATGAGAAGACACCAAGGAATAATCAGATTTATTGCAGACATTTCACAAAAAACAAATTTTTAATTAATTTGTCAGATTTGGTGATAAAATATTTTCCTAATGCTATTTGCCTTAAGAAAAGCCATGTTCACTGAAATTCTGGTTCATTGTACTATTAACAGGCACCGCTTAAGTTATTTATTCCTTCTTATAAGCAAAAACATGCCACTTCCTGTTAAATATATGCTTTCCATGGGACGGAGGCGTGGCAGCAGAGCGTCTGCAAGCTAATCACAGCACTTCAAATCAAAACCACATGTACACATTGACATTCCTTGCTCCAGCCTAAGAGCAATGAGCATGAACACTCCTCAAACCTGTCACCTGGGGTCAGTTGTTTGTGACATCATGGGTCTGGCGTTTCCTGTCAGTCGGGCTTGAGCAACCAAATTAGTAGATGAAAGCAAGCGCCAGGTTCTCGTCACAGCCTTCACTTGAATATGCATTGGGAGACCAAATGACGCTGTGGCCCCTTTGGGCGAAAGGAAAGCGGTAGTTTGGCTAAAAGATTACTGCTAACCTTGACAAACCTTGGAGGCAGAAAACCAGGTCAGCATTTCCCAATTCTGCATGTTTCTACACAGACAGAGGTTAAAAACTGAAAATCTGAGGACAGGGTTACCAATTGAAGTCTTGCTCTCTCTCACTTACTCACTCTCTTGCAGTCTGAATGAATTACAGGCTTGTTTCGACACATTATATGAAATAGAGTTTTTTTTGTTTTGGGGGGAAAAAGATGAAGCTCCTGACGTGTCTGTACATAATCAGAATACCAAATCTAAAAGGTATCTGCACTTCAGGCTGCTTTAGGTCAGGACTGGAAATAAACGTTAAGGACAGTAGGCAAAAAAACAACAACAAAAAAAAAACATACATACCTTTTACAAAGCCACACAAAATAGAAATGTTTTTTCCAAAAATAATATCCTAAATATCATCATTTGTGATTAAACATGTTAGTACCAGCATTATGCTTTGTGGTTGTTTTTGATAATTAGGTGAAAGGAAACTGGTCGGACGTAATGGAAAGATTAAAGAAAATACAGGCCAACACTGGTAAGAAAGTTATCAGAGATTGGATAAAAATTCAGTGTAAGACTGGGGCTTTGGCTGACCTTTCACCAGATCAAATACATAAGCTGGAATGGCCCAGTCAAAGTCCACATGTAAATCAAAATGGAAAATTCCTGGTAACACTTGGAAAGTAAGCTCTCCATCTGATCTGACTGAGCTTGAGCTATCTTGCAAAAAACAAAAAACATCTGTTACCGTGCAGCTGTAAATTCAGCAAAAGATTATTTTTAAAAAGTATTGGTTTGGGATGGCTTACCACTCTTTACATTTTTTATTTGCAAAAGATTTTGGCAACACTGTGTAAGACGCCACATATTTTTTTAATAGCTCTGTGTGTTAACGGTCAGTCCCTGAACATAACGCTAGGAGAAATTAGGAACGAAGGGAGGAGCCTATAGCATGCAGAGGAGTAAATGTTTTTTCGAGAGTGATCAGGAACAGATGCAGAGAGACGAAAGGGGAAGAGACGGGGTACCAAGATCTGGAAGCGTTTAGTTTGGGGTATCCCAGGTCCACTGAATGACAGAGGGCATGGCCTTTCCTTGACACAGGCAGAAAGCATCTGCTTTGCTCCAACCCTATTGGAATGTCACTTTAAGCCAATTGGAATTGTTTGTTTATATCTGCATCATACATGTACAATTTTGTCTGAAATACTGAGTCACCCCCTCTAAATCATTTAAGATTTTCCAGTCCCTTCCATGACTGCATGTGTAAAATCCAGCATCTCAATGCTTTTCCAAACATTTGTGTAAGAATGGGGCATTCTTAAGGGTCCAACAAGTCAAAATGAGCTAGGTAGGATGCTACATGGACAATAACTCCGTTTGTAAAAGTTCTGCACTACTAAACAGTTGACAGCCACTTAGTAATAAACTAAGTAAAGTAGCAAAGCCAACAGCTGTTCAGATTATCTCCAGAATGGTGGGTACTAATCACATAGACTGGGTTTCCATGGTTGAGAATTTCAAATGATAGCCTTGTAACGCCAAGTGCCACTATATAGTGGAACCACTGAACTCTAGAGCAATAGAGATTTTCTCTGGACTGACGAATGAAGTCTGCCTGCCTGGTAATCCAGTGAATGAGTCTGAATGTGGTGAAGAACAGCATTCACCCGACTGCATTGTCAAGTGTGAACTTGATTGAAGAATGATCATGCTGAGGGGTTGTTTTTATTTTAAGAACTTCTGACAATGCAGTATAAAAGATATTTTGACCATTTAATACTCACTATTATGTGGGAACAATTTGGGATTCTCCCTTCCTGTTTCAGTGGGACTGAGTTGGACTGACAGAACACCTTAGGAAAGAATTCGGGCACAGACTGCAAGTATTCTGATTAATGAATACTTTCCCCCAGCTTCAGCTTCAATGAAGTAATGAAGTCAAAGCTTTTATATCTACAAATACTGGATCATCTCTGTGCCGTGTGTATAACACTACAGGCTTGGTTTCGATGGGGCCTCATGCTCTTTGGACCTTTCAACACCACTGATGAAGTAAAATGAGATGCAGCTGATATCCTTCCTAATGGGTTAGACAATGATAGATTGAGTGTTGAACTTCCTGTCAGCAAACAGGGATGTAATAGTCCTAAAACTGACGATGTGAAAGCTCTTCTATAATGTCAGCATGTTTTCTATTAGAAGTTTGACTATACTTGCGCCACACTGTTTGACTTTTATGTGTTGTGTTGTCCGTGTCAGTCAGCTACCTCTCAGTTTCAGCGTCATCAGACTGCTGGGTCAAGGACGTGTGTCAAACATTGCCTCATTCAGTGTGTTCATATTCTTTCAGTAGACTAAAATACATTTTATAAGCTATTATTTGTCAAATCACTGACCTATGTGGTATGTTTTCTTCTCTCACAGGGGCTAAAAAGGGACAAAGAAAACAATTATTAGACATTGTGGAATAATGAGTCTTGGTTTTAAGGAGGAAACAAAGGCGTGAAGAGTTGGATTATCACACAAAAACAAAATTAAACAATGTGTTTCGATGACTCTTTAAGATTTACACCTGAAATTCAAGCTCAAGATCTTTTTCTGCCTGCCATGTAGATTAGAAATGTAGCTACGCGACATTGAGCTGGAAGACTTGGGAACACTGTCAGAGATTTACTCGAAAATCTTATATCTGGTCTTCACTGTGGATTTCTTTTGTTATTTCCTCGGTTAATCAACATTTTTGCGACTATATTTTATGTTGTGTTTGTTTACAAAAAGTTAAACATGTCTATGCATATGACTATATAAGATTCTCTCACGATAACGGTGAAATCTTTAATAAAAATACCAAATATGTCACAGTTTTCACACCAAGATTTAAAACAAACTATGTTTTATTTTAACAATTTTTTTTATTTAAAAAAAATACAAATACCTCTACTGCTACTAAAAATAATAGCATTTATTTATTTTTTTTTAAATAATGTTTTGGGATAACAAATGAATAACTCCTATTTGTTCACTGTTCAATTTGAAATAAATTGTGGTTTTAAAATGCTTATTGTGCATAATACATAACTTTATGCTGCTTTTTATTTTGTACAGTAAAGTGTAAGAGGCATACATGTAAACCAGAGAAAATACTAGACATGCAAATTTATTGGGCATCTCATTGAAATCACTTTAAACTATAGGAAACTAATGCAAACCTTTATTAATTGTGAACTATACCTTTTTACACAATTGCCTAAACCTGGATTTTACTTTTCAGAGAAGAAAATAGGAAAAAATGTGTTGTTCTGTCTATTTGTAGCTGACAGATTTGTACTTACAAGCACCGGGTCCAGAGTCGGCTGTTTAGCGTCAACCCGTCTGAAGTTTGCTATACTTACAATTAACAGTCTGCAAACAGAAAGAAACGGGGAAGTCATTATTTCATGTCATCATCTGCATTCATAATTAGGAGAACGGCTTTGCACATCACAGCTGTGTGAAAGATAGCATGATGTTACTACGGGTTGTTTTTCTGCAGATCAGAACTGATCCACGGCTTTTAAAATTCCTCTTCTCCCACCGCCATCACACCGCATGGGTCGTTTGGACTCCGGTCCTTCAGAACCTTCCTGTAAAAACAAAACCACGAACAGCAGGAAGTTGTGTGTTCAGAATTTGTATTCTCTGCATCTGAGAACACACGTAAAAACATCGGACGCTACGTTAATGTACATTCTGTTCCCAGCTATCTCGGACTAGTGTGTCATAGTTGACTTGTAACATTCCACATACAAAATACTGTACGCAACAACTTTTGGCAACATTCAGTCATGGGCAAACCTCCAGACTTCCCCTCCTGCAATCTCTTGCTCTGAGTTCCCTTTAAGAGCCTGTCTACAGTTACCATATGCTTGGTATTAACATCCTCTTGTAGTGAGAGCTTGGAGCCTGGAATTTGACCTTAGCCTGTTTTGCAGGAAGGTTTGTGTAATACTACAATAAGAAAACCGAGTTTTACTTTTGTTCTTAAAGTAAACATAAACTGATTGTAGATTTTACATTTAAAAAAAAACTATTGTTAGCAGAGTTCTTAAACAGTAGTCTCCTTATGTATTATCTTAGTAATGTGGAGGCTTGTGTAACTCTTGAGATTTCCAAAATGCTGCCAACATTTCCCAATCCTGCATGTTTTAAGACAGACAGGATAAAAACTCAAAAATGGAGGACGGTGTTGCTCTGCTGTTTTCTGTTTAGCTTTTATTTTACGTGTCGTTGTCTTGCTCTCGCTCACTCTCTTGCAGACTAAATGAATTTCAGGCATGTCTAAGCACATTGCACAAAACGGAGGAAATAAAAACCTCTCTGTACTTTCTCTAATTTCATGTGAAACATATCAGTCTTCCTGAAGCTAGCTAACCCATTAGCTTAGTTTTCTTTTCACAATAATAAATTTCACACCTCATTCTTTTGTTGCTATTGTAACTTGGTAGAACTTAATGTGGTGCATTTAAAGGACTTTATTGTTTGATTTTTGCCAAAACAGTCCTCGTTGTTTTCTTTGTCTGTTGGAATATCTGTGAGGTTTCGCTCAGACGGCGGCACAGCCTCGATGTTTCTCAGCTTACCTGTTGCGAGTTATGCAGTGGGTGAGGTTCAGTTGGGGTTTTCCAGCTACCATTTCTAGACAAAGACATTTAAAGCACACAAAAAGTCTGAGTACCTCTTAATCTCAAGTAACATTTCTTATGTTAAATGGTTTCAAACGTCTGTTTTCAAAAGCTCTTCAGGACTTTTTTTTTCTCTTTCTGTCTTTTAGCACTCAATTATGCCATTGGCCACAGATTTGCATGAGTAAAACTGCTTTCAAGCAGTTAACTGGAATAATTATGAGCTTTAAGATGAAACCGCATTGACTTTCTTACTGGAACATTTGTTCTAGCCTAAGAAAAAAAAAAAAAAAGGCCAAAAATCAGAAAAGAGCGCAGGGGGGGATAAAACTTGTTCCACACAAGTTGTTTTGCTTGGCTGGTTTCCGATTGTGGCTGAGTCCTTCCACTTTAAAGTAATCCACATTATGCCCAGATGAGACTCGTTGGATTATGCAAGACTTATCCCGCCTGATCATGTGAAATTAATGGCTGTGACGACGTGGGAGGGCAAATCTGCCTCGGGAGAGTTTAATTTCCCGTGTGACTTGTTGAGTTATGTGTTTTGCCCTTCGCTCGGTCTCACTCAACATGACAAATCTTCTAAATCTTTCCAACCCTCGTCGGAGAAACACATTGCAAGAATGCGACACACACACTCAAAAACATAACTATAGCGTTATTTCTTTACAGGCTTCAGATTCTATGAGAATTGTGCTGGGATCTAATATAATTTTAAGATACAGATATTGATTCTAAAGTCCAGATTTACAAAGTTCAGGGGAACATTAGTCTTAAAGTAGCAGTATAGCAACTCCTGGCCTACCTGTAGAGCCAGCTGTGGGTCTTCAGGTCCCAGGTCCCTTGCCCTCGTTGCGCTCTCGGGAGGTTGAAGCTGTCCTCCAGTCCCAGGGGCCTCGCCCGTTCTCTCTCCAGTTTTTTCTAGTCACCAGCCCTGATTAACTAATGGCTGACAGATGAGGCTGGCAGGTTTGCAGGAGGAGCACGTCTCCATAAAGTTGCTGGGGTTTTTTTTTCCCCCCACCGCTCGACTGCAGATACAGCTCAGCTGGGGGAAGCGTAGGCTGTGATTTTCTTTCTTCCTCCCTCCTGCTTTCTGCTCTAGTGAGGTGGGGCTAGACCCCCACAACCACCCCCATCCCCCACCTCTCCTCAGTCACAGACCATCCACCCCACCTCCAGCATGCCTCTTCTCCGCCGAGGAAGTTTTGTTATCATTTATGAGTAAACGTGCAGCGGGTATCTGCGGCGCTAAGGGTCCAGTCACCCAGGCTTTGATGTCAGCTGAGAGCACCCTGTGTTTAAAATGCCTCTGTAATTACAGTGTACAGGATGTATGTTTGTGCAACGTTTTCCACCGCCCGCAGCGACAACAAAAGGCAGAAGGTGGCTTTGTTGGAAAGGGCACTCTGACCTCGATCCATTTTTTTCAAGATTCTTAAGTACCAAAGTTTCATAGTGAGGGGTCATCATCGTTTACCACACATAACAGCCGCTCGTCGTTACGCAATCCTTCTGAGGTCATAATTAGTGTTACAATGAAACATTATGCTGTTGATCTGGACTGGAAATTATGCATCTCGTGTATTTTATTCCAGCTCTCCCTTTTTGTGGTGACTAGACAAGTGGGGGGTGGGCGGTGGAGGGTGGAGGCTCACTCATCGGGCAGAAATTGGCGCCCTAATCACCGCACGGCCACACGGGAACCGAAATCTCTTGAAAAAGTTTATCAGGCATCTCAGATATTTTTTTTAGTTGTTGTTTATTGTCATCAGGGTGTCTGGCTTTTATTCATTGTGTTTTCTCCTTTTGGGGTGCTTATTACTACCAGATGATCAAAGAGTGTGTATGAATCCAAGTTTGTGGGATTCGCAGCAGCTATCTCAGTATCTCCTCTGCTTACAGGTCAAACAGCTGAATGAACATTACAAACGAGGTCAAAAAATGCTACAAAAATAGAAGTCAACAAGAAAAAGACAACCACAGAACAATGTCTGCCAAAGTGTAAAATCAAAATAGGAAATAACAAAAACCAACTAGTCTTATAAGAAACATGTCTTGTACATAACTTGGGCTCAAAGGCCACTGTGAGGAAGAGATCATTACTCGAAAAAAACAAAAACAATTTAAGAAGCAAAGTCACTTTTTAGAAAAGCACACAAGGATAAAGTTTTATTTTTGGAGACGTTTTCTGTAATTTTATGAAGGAAAACGTGGTGAAATGTTTTGCTAATATGACCGTTATTTTATATAGAGGTGATAAGGAGGCAGCATTATGACATTTTGATGTTTTGCAGCAGGAACACTGGAGAACATCATAAACGACTTTGCCTCATAAGGAAAGAACATGTCAAACTATAAAATCAACTTCTTATCGTGGCAGCCAGTAAGATAAAAGCTTGGATGTGAAGAACAATAACCAAATTAGGTCTCCGCGACAACAAAATTAGGCCAGCCAATTCAATCTTGAAGTCGATGTTCTCGAGCGGCCACCAGAAAGCTTTGATCTCGAAAGGAAAGCAGCTTACTCACCTGACTCGACTCCACTGGTTCAGTCAGGACAAACAGACCATAAGGGCAGTGGAGGATACCCAAAAAGTTTTGACCCAAGTCATAATTTTAAAAACCAGTCGTGCCAAATACTAGGGAAAGACTTTTAAACCTCTAAATTTGCAGCGTTATCATTGACATGCTTTGATGAAAAGCGTTGTTTTTTTTCCCCTCTTCTCAGTGTTCAGTGAGCTGTGGCCGCGGCACCAAGCAGCGGGAGATAGCCTGTGTTTTCCAGAACCAAACCCAAATAAAGGATGCGTACTGCAGCCATCTGACTCGGCCGCGCGCGCAGAAGGCCTGCCGAGCTCGAGGATGCCCTGCCTGGAAAGCCAACAGGTGGCGGGAGGTATGTTTGCTGTTCTTGCTGCTCCACGACCCGCCGAATATCCAGTCTGGCTGCGGTGCTGCAGCCACAAACACAACCGAATCCCTCCTGGAGGCTGCAGATGTGGAGCATCTGTCTAATCCAAGCTCAGTTTATTTCTGTTCAACAGTTCCCTCCCCAAGCGTACCCCAAACACTCCCGGCTTGATTTGCAAAACTGTTTATAAAGCGTATCTGAGGTTTTCATTTCAGGTTTATAAGTCTGGCAAAACGACGAAAGTCATTCTGTAACCAGTGCTTCAGGCGGAGCAGGCTCCTCTTTGAATCCGATTTGTTGGGAAACACACAGCACACTCGCATTCTATCATACACAATGTCTTGATAAAATTCGATCAACTTGGAGCTCCAGGTGCAGCAGATGCAGCCGAGTGTAACTTCTCGAATCTGCTTAGACAAGATGTTAGGAATGGTATACGTTATCATGGCAAGTGTTTACACTAGCTGGGTTTTTTCACATTTTCTCAGGAGATTTTCTGGTAATAGGCCAACACAATGTAGAACATTATAGTCAGCTGGGAGAAAAATTATACATGGTTTCATTTTTTTAATAAAATTTTTGCTGCTTTTATGCCAAGTTTGTGGGATATTTCTCTCCAACCTTTAGACAACTAAACTCTAAATGTAATGCCCTTTATACTTCATAAAAACCTCAAGTTCAAACCTAACGCATAATAAGTGTCTGTAAACATAAATTCTCAATTGTGTACAATGCTGAATATTGATGCCTTCACCATTTTCCACATTTTTGTTTGTGAAAAGTCTGAAAACCACGTCTTTTTTCCTTTCACCTCTGAATTATGCGTCGGGTTGGACTGTCACATAAAATCCCAATGCACTGAAGTTTCTGCTTGACAAAATGTCACAATAGGTCAGAAGTTTGAATCAAATATTTGAGTCGCTATGTTATTATGTGTCACTTCAGAAAGAGCAAAGGCTGACTGTAGGTACAGGTAGAAAGAAAATGAGATTTTCCAAAAAAGATTTTTGTTTTTCACATTTCTTTTTTGAACATGCTTCAGCTAAAGGAAACGTTTCAACATAGAAAATCGGCGTGAATAAACCTAACCTCTGACTCCTTCCCAAGAACTCCTGCCCTCCTCAGGCTTTACGCATATCTTCCTCCCCTCCCTTTTGCTCCTGCTGATGTCTGGAAGCAATCATCCCTGCCTGCCAGCCCCCCGCTACTCCTAACATACCAACAGTTACCATAAAATCTTCATCTGGCCCCAAAGACATGTTTTATATCTTAATATTCATTCATATGACAACCCTGAATCCACAGCATCCAGTGGGACTCATTCCATAGCTACATACCATTTCATGTCATTCTGACAGAGGGCATGTAGTAAAATGCTTAAAAAGAATCTGGGATACACATTAGGATTTTTGATGATCGTCTTTCATTATTAGTGAAATGTTTAATGTAAAATATTTTAAGAATGTGATCCCATAACCGACGCACACGAAGCATGTTTTCTGATTCTTGGAAACGGCTTTCCATGTAATTTGGTGTTTCTTTTCTTTTTTGCAGAGATAATTTGTTATACTTGGAGTTAAAGGAGCAGTTTGACTGAAAAGGTGTGAAAAACAAAACAAAAAAGTACTCAGGTGAAACTCCAATTTTATGATCTGTGACGTTACCACCGACGCTTCAGCGCTTGTGTGTTGACTAACATAAAATATATTTGTGAAGTTGAAGGAGGGTGAAATTAAAAATAATAAAAGTAGCATTTTTTATTCTGCTTCCCTGAGCCAATTATTGCTAAAATCAGTTTTTACTGTAATCATTTGGGTTAGGTCTCTCCCACATCCAGCTGACGTTTTTGCTGGTTCTTCTTTGTAAAACAGCTCAGACAGACCAGATGGAGAGCAGCCGTGAACATCAAATACAAAATCTCACCACAGATTTTCAGGTGGATTAAGATCTGACCTTTAACTAGGCAGTTTTGTACAGGAGCATAATTTTGCAAATTGTGCTACGGGTGCCACCACTGATGGCACTTATGTCTGGAGCTTAAAAATGCTTAGAACAAACGTTGTACTGAAAAGCCCCAGTACAACTATGTAGCAAAATAACATAATTTGTCATTTCTGTTAGCTGACCATAAATGTTTTTTTATTTAAGCGGCAGCATGCTGTGCAGTTTTGTGTTTCCCTCTTTTGAAAGCAACACAGTGACATCTTTTCCTACCTTAACCTTTCAACAGACAGTTCCGTTTTCACGTTTTATATGTTAATTTTATTTTATTTTTTTCCAAAAGGGGTTTTTGATTTTAAGGTTTTTACCCTAAAACATAACCTTTCACATCCCTCCGCACACTCTGCAATGATAACTTACAGTTGCAGAATAAAACGGATCAACACAAATGGATCTAGAAGTCCTTGGTAATTTGATCCAGCTGTGTATTTTTCAGATTATCAGACCGCACGTATCTGATGAGCTTACAAAGGAATCGGCTCGATCAACTCAGGCTTCACAGAATGCTTCCTCACAGTGTGCAGGTATGCTTGACGAACGACATGAAAGAGATCGCTGAGATAGACGCTCGTCTGATTGCAGATAAGTGCACTCAGCGGGAAGACTGAACAAAGTTTCATGGAAAAGTTCAACCCGGTGAACTTTTTGAAGGTCAAGAGAACACGCTTTTACAGCTGCGGCAAAATGTGAGGATGCGTTCATTCGCATGTGAATTTTTGCCAATTTTCTGAGTAGAATAAACGATGAAGCCTTGCCTTAATACTGAGCCCCTGTTTGGCCACATTACATGTCTATAATGCATTTTAGGAAACTGAAGCGCTCAATCTCCACATCCTTGCCTCCATATGTTGTTCTCTTTTTAGTTTAACTAATTCAATCTTGAATTCAGCAACCAGCACTTCAAGGTTGTAAACCTTTTTTCTGATCACATTGACAGACTTAACTAAGGTCCAGGTTGAGATCGGAGGTTTTCATTGAACGTTTTAGTTATCAGTTCATAGAATCACAAGTGAAGCTTGTTTAGAAAACTGAATGTATTTCTGTTCCGTTTGTGTTTCATTATAGTGCTCTGTCACCTGTGGATCTGGAGTTCAGGAGCGAGATGTTTATTGCAGACTCAAAGGTTCGGGACAAGTCAGAGAAGACCTCTGCAGTCCTCACTTACGTCCTCCAGCAGTCCAAGTGTGCCAAACAGCAGAGTGCACACGTTACACCTGGGTGGCGGATGAATGGGAACGGGTAAATGGAGTTTCTTTCCTTATCCAATTGGTCTTTTGATTATCTGCGCAATATCATAAATATACTAGCAGATTTGCACACTAAGGAACAATTTTCCATTCGGGTTTTATGGGCTAGACCAATAAGAATTAATGAAGAATTGTAAAGTGGAAAAAGACGGCTGTTTTTCTTTTTTTCTTTTTTTTTTTCCAACAAACAAAAGTTAGAACATTCATATATATCCAGACCCTGATGATTAAATACTTTCTGGTATCATTGGTTGCCATAAAGGCTGCAGGTCGCTCAGTTCTAGAGTCTGAAATGTTTTATTTTATTTTTTTAAATATCTTTTGCTGCTCAGCCACATTGGAGGACAAACTTGGATGACTTTTTCCTGCGTAGATTGAAATAAAGTCAATATTGTGTTTAGAACCAATAAAACAACGCATATTTCACCGTCTCGACTTGTAGTGCAACGCAACGTGTGGGGAAGGGATGAAGAGAAGAAAGGTGAGATGCGTCGGCCCTGGTCCCACACCTGCCCACGATGACCACTGTGGACCGTCTACCAGGCCTCCATCCCTCCATCACTGCAGAGAGGAGCCCTGTCACTACACGTGGATAGCAGGGGAGTGGTCACAGGTGGGAATGAAAACTGATGGCGGTATCCGAAAGCCTGTGCAATTTCAGTTCTTGTTGTCACAATTTTGCACATCGGGATTTGCTGCACTAATTTTTTACGTTTGTGTCTCATCGGAAACTTTCATGACATGATGACAGTTTTAACAAATATGTAATAAAACATATTGTTTAAGAAAGGTACATAGTAGGGCTGTTGTTTTGGTATTTGTCCACTCAAAACCATGAGATAACTTCTAAAACATTTGATTTAATCTCCGACTTAATCCAGACTCAAAAAAGGAGTTTTGGCTCTTTCCTATCATTATGTTTTTATGTATTTGTGTTTCTCAGTGCTCCGCCAGCTGTGGCGTCGGCTACCAGCAGCGTTTTGTCTCCTGTTCTTTGATGCCCTCCTCTTCGCACTCCCAGCGTTTCCACACTCAGAAGTCCTCTGCAGGAAAAATCTGCCCTGAACCTCACCCTCCTGCCACTCAGCCGTGCCTCCTCAGGGAGTGCCCTCACACCTCCTACTGGAAAATTGGCCCTTGGTCCAAGGTGAAGCACAGAACATTAAGCAACCAAAGAAAATCAGTCCCACTTGTTTCAAATCATCCAAAGATGTTGTCCCTTTTCTTCCTGTTTCGGGTCTCTGTTCCAGTGTTCGCTGACCTGTGGGGCAGGAGTGATGGAGCGTAGGGTGGAGTGTGTGACTTCCGAGGGGCAAATGTCTAAACACTGCCGTCCATCAGACAGACCTGAACCGCAAGCTGCGTGTCAAGAGAGACAATGTGAGCTTCTCACTTTCGATTCGCAATAGAGTGTTGAATTTCTGCAGCTCCTCCAGAGTTACCAGAGGATGATTAAGGATGTCTTTGCTCAATCTTTTGCTTAGATGGATGACCCTGTTTTGTAAGATTTGCAGCTATTTCACAGATAAACTACAGATTGAACAGCAGTCTGTGAAGTCTCCAAAGCTTGGGATGGCTTCTTATACCCTAACCTGCTTCAAACAACTTTGTCTTCAGGATTCTGTTTGTTCTCTAATGTTCTCCAGCAAACCTCCGAGATTTTATTTAGAGTTAACAAAGTAAGCGGGTGTGAATTGTTTTCAGATTTTTACTTGTTAAAACGTTGTAAACTCGTGTCAGTTTTGTTTAGTTTCATACTACTGCTCTTCAGAGTAAGCAAAAAATACACAAGTCAGTTTGCATTTAGAAAGCTTTTGTTTTATGTATTATAACCCAACTGCATTGACAGGGTTGTGTTAACAGTCAATGCTCTCTTCCCCTTTCCTTTCCTAAGGATTGGATTTGGCTGTTTCTTCTTTGACTGAACCATCTTGTTCTCCTTTTCGAATGTCTTCACACACTGCCTACGTGGAAAGTTTTGCGATTAAATTGAGTGTGTTGTGTGTACCAAGCAACACCGTATCTGATTGTGTTTACAGAAATCCAACCACGATTTTCTTCGGTACATTAGGCAGAACGGCGAGCCCCGCTTAAAGCCTCCCGAAGTGATAATTTAGCGAAACAACAAAAAGCGAGTCAGCAGTTTTCTATCAAAATGCCTTGCGGGGGGCCCACCGGGGCAGCTTTAATTGTGCCGGGCCAAAGTTTGCAGGTTAGCTCAATCACGTTTCACATGTCTCAGCAACGGCACACTGGGCCAGTCGTTTCCAACCAGGCTGCTGCCAAGTCCAGCGCTGGCAAAATTAAAATGATATGCTTGGGTGACAGCCAGTTTTGTGGTCATGTTTTAAGTATAATGAACTAATCAGCTCGATATGGACTCTCCAGCAGTCTTGGAAAACAGACAAGAGACTAAAAAAGAGCCAAGTCACAATCCTTTTTTGATGATTCCTCCCTCAGGCCAGGTGTTCACTTCTTGCCGAGACATTCAGCGGAACCAGGGTGTGAGGATGGATGGGGAATACTATCTTAAGGTCAAGTTTCGGACTCTGCAGGTGCGTCTTTGAGGACAGAAATCCTCCTGCGCACATCCCGGCTCCTGTCTCACGTCTCACGATGTGCTTGGCTTTAGATTTACTGTGCTGAGATGCAGAAGGATTTCCCGAAGGAGTACGTGACACTGCGCAGCGGTCAGACTGACAACTACTCGGAGGTGTACGGCCACAGGTTTGTAACGTAGCTATGAGTTTTAAGATCCTGTTTTACGGGAGTGATCCTATCGCCTTTTGTCCTTCCCAAATAGGTTGATCAACCCCTTCGAATGTCCTTACAACGGCAGTCGCAGGCAGGACTGTGACTGCAGAAACGACTATTCAGCAGCAGGGTACACGCTCTTCCACAAAGTTCGCCTGGACCTGAACTCCCTTCGGATAATGAGTTCGTAATTACTGTGTGACTGCTTTACACCGTCTGCTGTAATGAGACCACACATCTCTGTTGATTTAAACTCTTGCACACCTCATCCCAGAGTGCCAATAAGGTCCAAAGGCCTCACACACTCTGTCTGCTGAAAATGATTTTAAAAAAAGGTGAACTTTCAGCATCCACATCACAAGGCTTCTACCATACAAACACGTGAGCAGGGAGGATCAAGGAATGCATGCGTACATGTGCTTAGCCAGGCAATCTGTGAGCACTCACTCCGGTACTCCCAACTGGACCATCATCAAACACTTTTTCATATTTGCAAGCAGCCAATCGCACACTCACACACTGTCCACACACACATCTTCCTCTAAATTTTTACAGTCAGCTTCAACTGTTGTGTTCAAGTACGCCTTTGATTAAAGGATAGGGATTAACACAGGATGCACGTGTTTGTCTGTTCGTTTTTTGCTCACGTACACTTTAAAAAGGAGACTGGAGCACCTCAAAGCCTTCAGGTGGCTTCTTCCTGTTTGCGTCCTTGACACCATGTTCCCACCTATTTTTTGTGCATGGTACTCATTTGGCTTTATGGTGGCTCAAATCAGATCGGAGGCAGGAAAATTAGTTCAAGATGAAGGGGGGAAGTTTGAAGAGGTGCTAATTGAGTGTGACTTACATATCAGTGCAACTTTACGGTGATATAGAAAATACTGAAGAATGGCAGGAGGAAAAACAAGCCAAGTTGATTGAAGAAGGATTCGAGGTTAAAACAAAGTGGCTTAATGAAAACAATGTGGTTCCTGGATAGATTGGAAAACTATGGGAAAGCAGCTTCTTCTGGACTTTCTGGTGCTGTTCTCCATGACCCGTGTTCCGAATTTGAAGAATCTAATTCTTTTTATTATGCTTATTTAGTGATTCATTTATTTTCATATTATGTTTCCCCTTGATCACATGTTGACAAGCTCACAATTTCTACAAAACAGTTTCACTATTCAGGCATCGATGTGGCTCAGCTGATAAAATAAATACACAAAAACACGAAACATCTACGCACTCGCATGGTACGCAATGAGAATATATTACCCATTTGATATTTTGAGATTGGAAATGTCCAATTTTTGAACCGAAATAATGGGGGAATCCTGAAATAATGATTTAAAAGACTGTTTTTCTACTCAGACATTTTAGGGAAAGTGTTTGTCTTTCTATGCTGGTGTAAATTGAAAAAAGATCAAGAAACATAACATTAAGAAGAAAATCAGTTCACAGAATTTGAGGTATTTTTTTAATTTCACTGAGCTCTCCAGACAGAGCCTTCCAGCTTCACTTTACAAACTGCTGAGTGGAAAAATCTCAGACGGAGCAAACACATCTGGCAAAGTGACATCAGTTATCTGTGTGTTTTTTCTTTCCTTTTTTTTCCCTCCCAGCAGATGTTTACAGTCTGTTCTCTTCGACTGTTGCACAATTTCACTCAAGATTTCTGTCTTTTCTGTTTACCAGTCACAGACCTCCAGTTTTCCCAGACTATTCACGGGCGGCCTGTCCCATTTGCTACAGCAGGAGATTGCTATAGTGCAGCCAAGTGCCCACAGGTTGGACAAGTTGTACCTCGTGGAAATGATGTGTGCAGAGAAAAAAAAAGTAGCTGCCTCCTTACTGATTACATCTGATTTTACATTTTTTGTCACATCTCATTGTCTCAGATCATCGTGCCTATTATAAGATCAGAAAAAGATAACCGAAGTAAATGCAAAAAGTGGCTTTCAAGTGGTTATTTGAAAAGCAGTCCGAACCAACCAGACATAGTCAAAAAAAAAAAAAGAAAATAAGTGCCTTCATTGTTAGATCATTAAATAACTGTGATTGTCTGCATTATTGTTTATTTTCCACAACCCAGACTTGGAACTGATTACTTTCAGGCCTACAGAATTAAGAAAATGATTCAACTCTATCAATCTGAAATGCTCACAAAGATATTTCTAAGGCTTTGGAGTTCCAATGAACCACAGCTGTTTTCCACAAATGTAGAAAATATGGAACAGGGTGAACCTTCATTAGGGACGAACTAATTACTCCGATAGAGCAGGGATGGCTCATCCAGAAGGTTACAAAAGAACCCAGAACGTCCAAAGCACTGTTTCCCTCTTTTGCCTTAGTTCGGGTCAGAGATCATGAAATAGAAAAAGAGACTGGCCAGTAATGGCATCTATGAAAGAAAAACCACTGGTGACTGAAAATAACACAAATGCTGAAAAAAATATCTGCAGACTTTTTGAAAATATTCTGATAACTGACATTTTGGGAGTTTAGGCATCCCCTTAGATCTGGTGTAAAACCTACACAGCATGTTTGACTGTGACAGTGAAACATGGTGGGGGCAGCGTGGTGCCGCTTTGCTGCTTCAGCAGCAGGACGACTTGCTGTAATCGATGGAACCACGAAGTCTGTTCTCTACCAAAACAAACATTTCAGATCTCGAGTCTGTGCAGCAAAAACAATGATGCAGTCCACACCAGCAAGTCTGCCTATGAAATCTTCAAAAACAGAAACAAGGTTCAGGATAGATTTGTGACATGTGATGTTTTTTGATAATCAGAAACATTTGCATGGTTTTCATGCATTCCTTTCTGCATGATATTTTACGTGAAGCAGCTTCTCTGTGCTTTTTAGGGCCAATTTAGTATCAACCTGATTGGAACGGGCCTTAAAGTGGCTCCAAACACCAAGTGGACATCTCAAGGGAACTATGTTTCGGTCAAAGTCCACAGATCTGAGGTAGGAACTTTCATGTGACATCTGATGTTGATATTTCAAGTATTGCCTTGTTGACATTTTGTTATCCAAGTCACATTTCTGAGTGCAGGAATGAAATTCCATTGTGCTTTGTTTCTCTTTTAAGCATGATGTTATTTCAGTCTGCTGGTAAACCCACTGTTATTTATAAACTGTCCATTTTTGCATAGAGCGCTGCCCTTTTGCCCACTTTCTGCTCTCTCATTCATTTCCATGCGTAGGACGGAACAAGAATTTACGGCCGCTGCGGTGGTTTCTGTGGGAAGTGCATTCCCCACGCTCATAATGGTCTTCTCCTCCAAGTTCACTGAGAGCCAAGTCGAAAACAAATCTCTAAATTCAGTTTGATGACAGTGGGCCAGGAACACACAATAAGAGTCATTTGTTGGATCCAGTCGTCGGCTGTGAGCACGGAGGAGGGGCGTCAGCTGTGACATCTCCGGTTCCCAGATAGCAGCTAAAGGATACACAACACAGACCACTAATGCTGCATGCTGTCACCGTTAAGTGTTTCCTTAAAACTGAAGACGAGCCAGCTTTATTTGCTTGCTAGCCATTTTGCTGCGGCACGTTTTGTGGTTTGGAAATGTATTTTCTGATGTAATTATATTACCAAGGGAGTCAGGGCCTGTTGGTCACCGAGGGTGGAGGGCATGCAAGAACTCGAAACAAGGAAAACAGCTTCATGTTCTCTCTTATCAAGTTAAATATGTTCATCTTAAAACAGCCTTTTCTGAATTTTAATTCTGTTCCTTCTGGCAACATTTTGCAGGAAGCGTAATAGACTGAAATATTAAGAAATTAATGATTCTCTCGCTGTGCTACATAATGAGAGTAAATGAATGACCACTCTGAGACAATATACAACTATTGTTATTACAGGATGGGCCATAAGTTTCCATACATAGGAGAATGTAAAATGTATATTTCTTTTGTATTTCAAATGCCCAAGAAGATGCGTTTGACAAAAGAGCAAAGAATTGAAATTATACTTTTGGCTGGATCGGGACGCAGTCGCATGGTTGCACAAAATTTTCACAGAAAACGGAACGAGCATCACAACACGACACTGTTGCAAAACTTACTTGCAAGTTTTAGAAAACTGGAAATGTTGCAGTTCAACCACGAAGTGGTCCAAGATGTCCACAAAAACAAAAATGTTTATTTTTTCTATGTATGGAAAATTTTGTCCCACATTGTATTATCCATATGTAACTTGAGACAGTAAATCTCTAGACTTTTTTAAAGTAACCAAGTACTGACGGTGTTCCTGACCTGCCTCACATCAGAGGTCAAAGTTTAGATGGACATTTTTTTGAAGAACTTTATATTTTGATTGCATTGCTGCCTATGTGTTCCTACTACAGTTTGTGATCTATCTTTAGTCGTTATTGGCACTGCTGGTAAAAATGTATAATAAAAAAGAACATATTAGGATTTAAGAACAATAATCAGGCAAAACAAAGTCCCAGTCCAGCTAAAATGATTAAAATAATCGCCATGAATATATCCTTGGAAACTCTGCAGCTGTAAACAAACTCAATAGTGTCACATTTAACTCTCTCACTAATGACATTTTGGACTCTGCAGTCTCTAATATTTGATTTCCTTTTCTTTGCGGGGACACATAGTTGATCACAATCAAAGTTTCTCCCAATTTTCTGGAAATAGTTAAAATAATTAATTTAATTAAATAACAAGCTAGACATAAAACTGACTTCATTCCATGTCTGTCTCAGTCATCGGTTCTAAATCCTGCAGAGGACCCCTTAGAGGGGACCTCTGACCTTTCACACAGGTCAGAGGTCCTTTTCTCTGTATGTTCCAACCTCCTAAGGATTATGCCCCGGGTAATAAAAGATGATTTATACACATCTTTACCTTGGTTGCCAATAAATGCGCTCAACACCTCACTACTGAATGTCACTGAGAGTCACATTGACATGCTAATTGTTTAGGTAAATGCCTTTGCTATGAGCGGAAACCCAGATCATTTCTTAGAGTAAAAGCTCAGTGTAAAGGTTGTTATTTCATTGCACAAGTTCTCATCTTTTACTGTACATGACACAGTCAGGTATGGCATCTCAGCCACTCTGTTTGGCCTGCTCCAAGTCCTCACAACCCTACCTCTCACAAGCATATGTACTCTGAACTGTGTTGTATCATATTTATGTTCAACCATATTTATTCTATACTGACCTGTGAACATGTTTGTCATTTGATACAATGACTACTGCCACAAGAAGAGACGTTGTCTGCTTTGTAAGAAGGTGCTCTGATGACGTATTGCATAACCACTAACCTTAAAGTACTAAGATTTTTAACTACTGGAATTACATCCGATTTAAAAATGGAAAAGTAGGGTAACTCTTTCTGTGGCAGAGCCTCTTTTGTTTTAACCGGCAGAGTTAGAAATGTCTTGAAATGTCTGATGTACGAACTGCTTGCAAAGCAGTTCAGAGTACTGATATCAACGCGGGATTCTTAGACATACCAGACGAACTTGTCCCATGGGAAATCTCCCCCTGCGGGCGACGTGAGCTCCTCATCCACAACTGTTACAGTGACAACCATCATGTAGTTTAACACACTGGCATGCAGATGCTGAGCTTTTAACCAAAGTTGGGAAACAGATCCAGACTATTGTCTCCTCAGACAGTGCAGCTTCCTCTGATTTAAAGAACGGCTGACGATGATAAAAGTCGGCGAGCAGCTAGAAAACCTTTGGCTGGCGTCCATTTTTATTTATTTTTTTTTTATGACTGCCAATTGTACTATGAGATCTGTATCAGAAGTTCAAGAATACTTTATGCACTATGTGCCATTAACTTTGTAGAAATGTAATCTTGTATGTCTTTTTTGTAATAACCATTACACTGTAACTTATATACGTGTGTGTGTGTGTGTGTGTGTATGTGTGTGTGCGTTTAATATTCAATACTTGAATTGTAAACATTGTGTGACCTACTCAGTGGGCATTGGTACTGAACTGAGAAATGTTGACTTTGCTTGTCTTGCTTTATCCAAAGATGTTTTTAAGAATCATATGTATATATAGTGTGCATGTAAGTATATAAACAGTATGTATGAATGTACGTATGGATGATAAGAGGTGAATGCTGCTCATAAGACATACATAATTGTGGTGCTATGTATGGTTACTAATCATACAGTTACTGTATGTGTCATTATACTAAAACAGGAAGGAGAAACTGAAAAATAAAATGTGTTTCAGCAAAAAAAAAAGGATGACTTAAGTTTTTTTTTTTTCACAAAAAAATACTATTAAACAAAAATTAACTACCATTTGTGATACATTCTGTTACACTACTTTTGCTGTGACATCACTTACTCAATTTTCAGTGCATCGTATTCGGTTGACCCGGTGTGGATGAATGTTTAATGCTCTATTGTCTTCAGGTGCCCCAAAAGACCAGTATTTTGACTGAAATAGTCTTTTAATTGCAGAAATCATCAATAAGTCTGACTGCAATAATCTTGGAGAAGCCTTTAAGGATTGCCATGCTGATGTGAGAGAATCTTTCATCAGTGAAGACAGAGCACCTGCATAATGAAGCATGAGAGAATTTAACATTACCATTATGTCATGGCTGCTACTTTGGAGAAAGAATTTGTGTTAAAAACTGTAGCAGTGGCTTGTTTACTGACTGGTAAATTCACACTTCTTAATATTTTGTCATGTTATAACACCTGGTAAATGTATTTGTGACTGACCCAAAAAAATTATACATTGTATATTAAACAATGCAAGGCTCTTTAAAAGTGTTGCACTTGTATTAAGCCCTTCTAAGTAAATACTTAATATAAAAACCTTACAGATTACAGATGTGGGTTTCTACCAACTTTGCACGTCTAACTCAGCTATTTAAACTGCTCCACAGGTTCTCAGATTTAGCTTCTGACTTTGACTATACCATTCCAATACATGAATACGCTTTGAGCTGAATCATTCTCATTTAGTGCTGGCTGTGACTTTAGAGCGATTGTTCTCCACAAAGCGGCTGAAAACAAACACATGCCATACTTTTCACTTTGGCACATAGATCCACTTGCAAAGAAAGGCAATGCTGAAAGGTCATTTTGTGGATTTAGCAGAGTAGTTTCATACGGCAGAGAAATGCAAGGCAGATAGAGTGAGAGAGGTGTAAGAGATATATTCAGAGATGTATAACTCAAGGGACGACAGCTTGCCTTCAGCAAAGTGTCACAAAATCATGATGATGATTAGATGTCAAAAAACAGGGTTGACTCAGAGAATCTGATGTCAAACTGCATGAAAAAAAAAATAGGACATATTTTGTGATCCGACAGCAGTGTCTCTTCAGTCCAGGTCAATATTTAAAAGTGTACAGTTGGTCAACACTGGATCCTGCTGCTAACCACATTGTGACTCCATGTGGATCCACTTAGTGCTGTGGACTGAATTTCAACAACTTGACTTTCAAGCACTTATTTCCACTTAGAGTCACATAAAACGCAACAGCAGATACCCTGTAGAGCAGTTTCTCTCTAATCTAGATACTCTCTTGAGTTCTGAAGTTGTCCTCTACCGGGTGACTCATCCAACTGTAATGCCAAATCAAAGGCCGAGGTAAGCCCCACTGTAAGCGCTGGAAAATTGTCCAGGGAAGAAAAGTCGGATCTTAATGACTTAATAACAAAGGTGCAGGTACTTTACGAAAAGATAAACCGTTTACGTACCAGGCACTTTCCCACGTCTTATTGCCTCAATACAACTTTGATAGTAAATGAAAACAGATCCTGGGATTCCTGAAGACTTGCTTTGATTTCTGACCAAAAGGCAAGGGTTCCAAAAACTGCCAGCTATGCTCTTAAAAGCATTTATTTTTTATTTTTTTTTTAGAAAAAGAGAACTTCAGACTTGTTGACCCAAACACCGATTAAAAAACAAAAAAACAAAACAAAAGCAGCTTCCCATGGCACCTCATGTTGTGAGTATAAACCAAGCATCTTTAATGACTTTACTGAAAAACAAAAACCTGCACTGAGAGCCCTCATAAAAGACACTAATGATTGATGTTTACCATGAAGCGCAGTCTGTTTCAAGGTAACGGCGCAGACATTCCAGTGCGATCTGCAGCTGTGACCTGCTCTCAGGAGAACATATACAAAAGAAGCAAAAACACTATTTCCACTGATGCTGATATATAAACATCAGCATGCGTGTGTGTGCACACGTGCATGTGTATGTATACTTTCGTCTCTCCTCTTGCAGGGTGTTAGGTATTGTACCTATGCAACATCTGCGGCAAAATATAATTGGAGAAAATATACGAGAGGTAAAATATTAGTAAGTTTAAGATTCACACTCCTCTTAAATTACAGATAACTTGTGGAAAAAAAACTCCTCAAAAATGAAGTCTCACACATTGGGTAAACAGTGACACCTTGTGGTTGTTATGTTGCACTGTCATTAAATAAGTTTTTAATTAATTCTTTTGTTTGTTTCAGCTTTTTTAAAATAATTTTTGCATTCCTTTATGCGCAAAAAATAAGGCAAAACGAGTTACATCAATATTTGGTGAGAGTAAAAAAAATGAATCATGTCTGATTTTTGTTAAAAATACACATCTGATTCTCTGACGAAAAAATTTTAAAAGATTTAATAAGTGGCTACATTTGTCTACAGTAATTTCTTTTCAATAACACAATAAATTAACATGTTGATGTATTGCAGCGCCTTGCATAGATCCACTTATGTCATTATTTTGTCATGTTAAGCTCCTCGCTGTAATGTATTTTGTGCTTTCTATGACAGACCAACCAAACATAGCAAATAACTGCAAAGTGAAAGGAAAAGTTTACATAGTTTATTTTTTATTCCCTCTCCTGTTTGTCTTGCAGAGTAAAAAAATACTGTGCTTGTATTCTGTTTTATATTTTAAAATCTGAACATTGATTTAGTTTCTGTTAATAAATCTAGTCTGGACTTGTGTGAACATTTTGGAGCCTTTTGGTTGCAAACCATGTTCTCATATGACCAGCAGATGGCAGTAGAGTATGCGCTTACCTCAGTAGTTTGACCTCTTCACAATCATGCAGAAAGAACATTAGTGAAACAAGGTCTCAAATGTTAGACCTACACTGGATTCAAGTTATTTTTGTGTGAAATGTCCTGGAAGCAGTCATTTGTTCCATCGTTTCCTAAATCCTCAATCATCCATCCTTTCTTTAAGCCCTGGCCCTCATGTGCTCCTTCACCCACATCCTACACCAACGCAGCTGGCCTTCAGCAGTATCAGCTCCACGTTGTGATGTAGAGTGCTGGCATCAAAACCCCTGAAACAACATAATGTAGCAGCTATTCTGCAGCCTGCCGGACCATCAGCAGTTTAACAGTGTAGAAGCTGCTGGCGCTTTGTCTGACCGGGCATTATATTGACTGCACTGTCTTGCCTTGCAGGCCAGCACTATTGTAAAGAAGCAACTTTAATCGGCTGAGACAAAATGAGTTCATTTTTAGGTATTAAGTTACACGTCTACGCAGCATCCATTTTGGAACAGCTGGGTGCGACGTGTGGGGCACTGCAGGCTCGGGTCGACGCTGACCACCTTTCTGGAGCTGCACTGTTGGAGATTGACCCGCTGGTGTAAAGGGTAGGGGGCTGGAGTTAGGGCCCTGGGGTGTGCACTTTAGTTGCTTTCATGCACATACGGTGTGCTAAAGAAAAAAAAAATTGGACTTGCATTTTTCAAAGCATGTCTGATCGTTTTTGTTTATTTTTTTAAAAATGCATCCCAGCTTCTTTAAGGTTACATTTGAATGGTCATCATTGTGGTTGAAGCCCTACATTTGTCTTACATTTTCAAGTTGTCTCACCTAGTAAGCCATAAAAACCTGCCTAGAGTTGCTTAGGAAATGTGCACATAATGACCAGTGGCAGTGTTTTTGTTCGAGAAAATACTTTCCCATTGTAAAAACGTTGAGGTTGTTAAGCAGCCTGGAAAATGTTGCCCCGTGTCAGCATAGTTAGACTGACAGAGGCAAAGGCCAGACGCAGCCACAGCTCCGAGCTCTGGCTGCTCTATTGTGTGCAAACCCAGCAGGCAGGGCTCTCCGTAACACTAAGAGGTGGGGGTAATTATTTCTAACAGCTTAACACTTCAACCGACTGAGCTTTCGGGATATTTTTACACTAGATCTGTTAAACATACATAATGTCCCCCTTTGTTTCAGCAAGTTCCACTTAAAAATAGCTTTCGGGTGACCGTGTGTATAGTGAATGTCATATGATGATTTGAACAGGCAGACCAAACAAGCAGAGTCCAACTACTTTCTTTTTTTTTCCCCTCAGCGCGTTGGGAGGTGTCCAGCAGGGGTGAAAACATTGTGACATCCTGGATGTGTTCACTGGAAAACGTTTGCAACAGGAATGAAAAAGATGTTTGTGGTCATGAAAGGATTCTTGTGAGCATAGTTGAAAAAAAAAAAAAAAGAAAGAAAAATTATGTCAGTTTTCCCACATGGGCTGTTTTCCTATTTGCAAACTAAAGAATGGAAAAAGCAATAGAATTTTTTTTGTGGGGGAAAAAATCTAACTAAATTAAATTAAGCAAATGCGATACTTTGCTGAAGAAGGCGCTCTGGTCAGATGAGTCCAAAACTCAGTTTTAAAAAAATTTAATCTACGCATAAATTCCTATATGGTGCCAAAAAAAAAAAACTAATACATATCAGCCTGAACACATCATCCCTTGGTGATACACGGTGGTGGCAGCATTGTGCTCTTTTTCAGCAAAGCAGGGAAGCTGGTCAGAGTCGGAGCTAAACACAGGGCAACCTCAGAAGAAAACTTGACACTGGGATAAAAATGTACCTTCTGTCACTTAAACATGCAGTGAAAGCAACAATGATGTGGATTATAAAGGAAAAAAAAGCATTCCCAATGGGGAACAGCACATAAGAATTGTTCACAGGGACTCTCTGTTCTATCTGACTGACCTTGAACTATTTTGGAAAGAAAACTGGGCGAAGAATTCAGACTCTGAACACGAAAGACCTGTAGCTGTAACCACCGCGAAAGTGTGGGCCGCTGCTTCATTTTAAATGTTATGCTTGCAGCTTGATTTGACCTCATTCGCAGATGAAATCGTTGCCCCGTGTGTGATATCTTCAGAGAAAGACAAGTGAGAAGCAGAGAATCAATCTGGTCTGACAGTAGCAGACGAGACCATTTGGAAGTCATT